ATTAGAACTATATACAATACAAATAAGGAATTAAATTAAATAATCACTGCTTAGCTAAAAAATAAAGAAAAACAATTATAAAAAGAAGTAAAGAAGGAAGAAAGAAAAACAATAAATTTCTCTAATATATGAGCAAAAAGTAAAAATAAATGAGGTATGAAAAATATGTATACACCTTCATAAACACATGGGAAGAAAAAAAAATGTATGTATACATAAACATTTGTACCAAATAAGCATCCATTCTTTCTGATTAGCTATGATGAGTACAGCGTGTTATTATTCTCTTTTGAAAGGAATTTTCCCTCTTTCTATGCTGTGGATTATCCATTAGAAGAAAAGGAATTTACAGCATCATGTAGATATTAAGCGGTTTTTAAGTAAACACTAAAGTAAATTGTTTATTATTATTTAGCGGATGAGGTTCCACTATATTCAATTATAAATTTCATACCAGTTACTAAGTACAATAAAACGGAATGAAAACAATACAAGTTTAATGCAATCAGTATTTTTTAATCTTCCTTTAAATACTGATATATATAGTGTTAGGGGGCTGGGATAGCCGTACGGCTACGGCGCTTGCAATAGGTAATTCAAGCAACGTCCAGAGTGGTTAAGACTTGGATGGGTGACCGCCCGATTTGGGTGATCGTCCACCAGGGCTTTCCCTCTGTCTCCCTCCCTTCCCTCCCCGGGTATGTGAAACCCGTCAGGCTACTCGAGGCAACTCACACCGATCGGTCGTAGGACTGATGTGTGTACTTAGTCTACCAGGATGTTAGTAGCACCCCTGAGGTTCGGTCCATGGACGTTCTGTTTCTGGGAAAGAAATATAGATCCTCGTGCGCCTGCTGACTCCGAACAGTCATAATCCATGGACCTAGACCGATTTGTCACTGTCCTTGAACCCGAGTGAGGACAGTGGAAGGACAGAGCCAGATTCTCCCCAAAGGGATCTCCTCTGAAGCTACGGGCTTGCTATCATGGTTCGTAGCAACGTGAGGTTGGGTAACCCCCTCCAGGCTATCTGAGCTCCCGCAAGCAACATACATCTGTAAGGAGACCACATCTCGCGACCAAAGATCTTCATAGTCTGTAGTGCCAACCGAAAATATATATATATATATATATATATATATATATATATATATATATATATATATATATATATATATATATATATATACATAGTATTATATTTTTAAAAATAATTTCGCATCAATCACTAAGCCAAATCATATTGTGTTAATCTCTAGAAGTTCCTTCACAAGATAATATAACGTATATGAAAATGAATTTCTGAATCGTTTGGAGAAACACTTCTAGTAAAGCACAATTATGAAGTGAAAACTATCTCTTTTATTTTTTTTTAAACTTATTTATTGAGAAATATTACAATCTGTTTTAATTAAAGGCATTTATAATAGTGTTCAAAGAGCAGATTCACACTCTATCTAAACTATTTTGAACAGAAAAATAACAATAGTAAAGTAAAAAGACTTCTTGTCTTTTGAATTTGATATATGGGTTCCATGTTAGTCTTCGGTCTAAAAGAAAGCCTACATACCGGACTGTGTTTGGAAAAGGAAGCTGGATGGAATTAAAGTGTACTGGAAGGGAATTGCTTCGTAATATAAAGGTAGTATGTTTGCATTTGAATTCATTTACTTTAACGCACCATTTATTACATCTGTCCTCAATCAGAGAGAGGTGCCTTTGAATATTTAAGGATGTTATTTCTGGATCAGGGTTGGATAATAAGATTGTGGTGTCATAAGCAACTATTTAACTAAAAATCCAGTACCAGAATAACCCATGAAGGGTCTTGAGTTTAGCATTTGGTAAGGAAGTACTGTCAGTTGCTGACAACAACTCTCTAATTTCTCCAAGGAGGGAGCAGTATGAGGCATAGAAATCAATTCTGGAGGCATCATACATAACACATAAACACAGGCATTGGCCTATGCTGATGATGTCCACCTGGTAGCCAGAACGCTGCCGAAGTATTGGAGGAGTCGGAGCAAAAGGCAAATAGACGAGGTCTCAAGATCAATGATAAGAAGAGGGAATACATGAAGAGCACTCAGAAACTCCCACAGATGCCACCACATACAATTAATATTAATGGTCATAACTTCCCATTTTATAAGCTTTTAAATGACTTGGAACTAATCACCGAAAAGAATGAACTACGCAAGGAGATAGAGGCCAGAATACCATCAGGAAATCATTCCTTTTTTGCAGTACATGAAGTTTTGAAGTTCAAAGATCTTTCTTGGAGAGTCAAGGTAGATAAATAGATAGAAGATAGAAAGTAAACTTTATTCTGGGACAAAGTCCCTTATGAATAACAGATATGAACAAAAAAATAAAAACTACATCTGGCAAAAAATTACATTAATCAATATTAAAGAATATATACAGTATCTTCAGTGAAGTTAAATTAAAACAAGTAAAAATAAAATAAAATTTTGAGAAAAAACGAAAAAAAACAACATTTTTTAAATGAAAATTAAAAAAAAATAAAATAAGCATGGGTTGATTTTTAAAATTAAGACTCAATAAATTTTATCAACCATTCACCTCAGTCAAAATCTGTTTCACAATATTTATTTTATTGTATAACGTCATTTTGGGATGTGAGAAGGAATTGGTAGAGATGATATTTAAATGAGGACAAGGAGGAGGCATGGCGGATTTCAGATGGTCATCGTTTACCAGACAATTATGAGTCCAACAGTAACCTATGGCAGTGAGACATGGGTCCTGTCAAAGGAGGTGGAGAAACGACCTGGGAAAGAAAGATACTAAGAAAAATATATGGACCAGTCTACTCTGATGGATAGTGGAGAATTAGAAAAAACAAAGATTTAAGAGCATTGTATGATCAGCCAGACAGAGTAAGTATAATAAAAAGGGGAAGGTTGAGATGGCTCGGGTATGTTGAGTGTATGAAGGAGGATCGTCTTCCACTTTTTGAAAAGCCGGGTGGGAGCCAAAAGCATGGATGACTAAGAATGAGATGGCTGGGCGATGTTGTGGCGGACCTGCGCCAACTTGGAGTAGAGGATGGAGAGGGGTTACTGCCAATAGACCAGCCTGGCCCCTTCAAGGGCAGTAGTGCCGAATATTATTATTAAGAATGTAATATATCAGGAACAAATATTATATACGCTCAATCACCTGGCGGTTTCCTTGAACACTGGTGAATTAGGTACTTACTCTATGGGCCCATGGTCAATTCACTGATAACAGTAGAACTAATAAGAGTCATTTCACGGTTGCTGCAATACAATCTCAGTAGTAACTATATGCTTATATTTATATATACTAGTAGGCCCGTGCGAAAAATTCGCACAGCATATTGTTATCAAATGCCAAATTAATAAGAAAATAAAATAATGCAAGGTATCAAAAGATAAAGAAATCAAATGTTACTTTATCGATACATATAATCGACAAAGAAAACAAAAATTAATTTAAATCTTCATCAATCAAGCTGTATCTTTGTTAAAAATAGTCCGATTTCGATGATTTTATTTTTTCATTTTGTAGGGAATTTAATCATCTTTTATATAATCATGGGCATAATCAGGGGAAAAGTGTGTAATTTTATAGTTATTCACAAATAAAGTTTATTTTCTTTCATAACTTGTTTGTCTTAATTTTCAGGGTGACTGGACTATTTTGCCCGTCTGAAAAAGGAAACCTTCGAAATTGTAGGCTCAATCTTGAGATTTGGTGAAAAATTAACGATGATATGGCATGCCGATCAAAAACACCATCGATAAATAATATAACTATAATAATAATATAACTAATATATACTCCTCCTCTCTCGATCATAGAGACCTCAAGTCGACGAAATGAGACATGTATTCAATGACAGTACCACAATTAATGTAAGGTTGTATGGATGCGAACCCTATGCCTTGCGTTATCTCCAAAATAGTACGTTTTTGGGCTTAAAAACGCAGGATCCGATAGTTCCGAGGGATCTATCCGGGTCTTGCTGTACGCATCAAAATCTTCAAGATCCAATTTGTCCCGTATCGATCTACAGACCTACCACCGTTCCAGTATTGAAGCCTAGCAAAATGTTTGTATCGACTTTATTTATTTTAGAAATGAAAAACAAAAGTGGAAATAGATTCCTAACCCCCGTGAAATTCTGAATCCAACGGTACCCATCAGGTATTTGAGCATGACAGGAGCTTATATTTGGTACAAAACCGATTTCGAGCCTTACTGTAATAATATATGTTGATATATATATATATTATCTTTCATAACTTGTTTGCCTGAATTTTCGGGGTGATTGGACTATTTTGCCCGTCTATGATTGGGCTATTTTTCCGAATATATATATATATATATATATATAGAGATATATATATATATATATATATATATATATATATATATATATATATATATATATATAATATTCTTTCTTAACGAAGGTTTAGATTGATAATATTTTTCAAATATGTATTTTAAATGTATTTGGATAATATCAATATTAATTTCAGGTTTTGCTCCATTCTCCTTCGTTTCTTGGCCGTTTCTTTACAGCCTTATCTTTAACTTGGTGTTTTGTCTGATGACTATTTGGAGTATGCGAATTATGATTACGGAAAAAATCAATCCATCAAAAAGTTACGATGAAACAGTCTTTTGGTTTCTGATTTTTCTGTTCGGACTTCAGAGCTTCACTGGCCCTATCACATTCTGGTTGGACGCTTCTAGAATAGTGAGATATTTCCATACATGGAAAAATTTTGAGGTATGTAAATTAATAGATTATATAGATATATTATAATACATAGTTACACAGACTGGGTTGGACTATTTACTGATGAAGAAGTATGTATAATTTATTTTTAGTTTTTACTTCTGATGTGTTATTTAACCTTAGATGGAATTAAAATAACGTACAAACTGAATTGTATTATTTTATTTTTTTTACGTTTTAGAATTTCTGGAGATGTGGAGATATGTATTCAGCAAAGCGTCAAAAATTCACTAAATATTTTTCGTTATCAATAGTGCCACTAGCTGCGCTGTTTGTTATTTACGAAACCGTAACTCTTCCAAAGATATCGATTCTGATTTATCTACCACACATACCCATTGTCATTACCCAGAAACTGATGATAGTACATTGGTGGTTGACATTGCACGATCTTACTCAATACTCAGAGCAGCTTTTGATTAGTATTTTTAAGGTAACTTCTTTTTTACAGCATATTATGTTTCACAATCACTCATAAACATAAATAGTGATTGCCTATTCTAGATGCTATGTAAATTACCAACTAAGCAGCCGTTCACTTCACTTTTTTTTATTTCATGATAACTACGGCTATGGTCAGAGAAAGGTACAAGTTTCGTAAAAATAAAAGGCAAGGTTGTTTTCTGACTTTTAGGTTATACTTGATACTTACGAGATACTTGTCAGGTTTGTACATAAAAGAATGGAAGAATCGGCAATCAGCCAACTTCTGTAAATCTTCTCTATCCTATCATATTTCGCTATTTGCGATAATATGAATCTACTAGAGCCATAGGGATCATATAAGCACTACTTAGAGTGTGGAGTTGAAAAAAGGATAAAGTGTTTTATGCTACTATCACTAGGCTAAGTGTCTATCGCTTGATCATCTAACACTATCACTTGATATTGATCAATATCTGAGATAATCCGACGTTCCGTCATCAAGATGAGCCCTAGTTGCACGAAACAAGTCCCGGTTTGTCTGTTTGTTAGGATCAAAATTCCTCATCATAATGATATAAATAACTTCAATAATATTGGGGTAGAATCAGTAGAGAGCAGAGTGGATGTAGGAAAATATTTCAAAGAAATTGGAAAAAAAATAAAGAATTATTAATTTATTTATGGTGAGTATAACTATGCCCTAATTAGTATGCTTTTGAAAAATGTTGGAGACTTAATTTTGTCTAGAGGAGATGAGGGAACAGGAAAATATTTGATGTCATTTTTAGTTAATCCACAGCGTAAATCTATCACATCTCTAGAGATGAAATTCTTTTTTTACTTTCACTTATCTATATATGAAACACTAGCGGACCCAGCAGGAAAAAATAACACTAGCTATCTCCCTGGAAGCTGGAAAAAATTCCAAAAAGCAGTCATTTAAAGAAAAGAGAAATATACGGGAAATCTATCCTCATTGACGAATTTCCTAATGTAATATAAAATATATATATTATCGTGACCAGCACTAGCGAATTCTACCAAGGGGCGCTCCCTCTATTCGATTGTGGAAACAAATTCCGAAAAACTGATAGAGAAAATTATTCCTCATACACGAATTCCCTAATGTAATATAAAAAAATTTATTATCGTGACCAGCCCGAGCGAATTCTGCCAGGAGTGATCCTCCCTCTGGATGGTGCACAAAAATTCCGAAAAAGTTCCAAAAATCAGCTATTTAAAGAAAAGAGTGATGTAGTTAGTTTTTGGGCCGCCGTGAGATGCGAATGCTGGTGCTCCTGTCGCAGTTTGTTCCTATCGAATCCGAACTGTGTCTCGCAGTTGAAATTCACGATGGAGGGAAATTTATTTAAAAAAAAAAAACTTCGTTTATTCTTTCGAACAACCTTTTATTCGAACACATGAAAATATGGGTATTCACTCGGATCCAGTTTTTTTCATTTTCAATATATCTGGACGCATTGCAACATCCAGCAACTATTGTCCCCTTGAAGAATCCATGCGATTCATAAAACTGGCCACGATAATAATTTGTACATTTCTCATTAGAAAGTGTTGTTCTTTTCTTAAAATAGCTGATGTTGGGAACGTTTTCATGAAGGAAGGTACTAATTATTTAGTCTTCGATTTTATCGTAATCTGATTATGATCGGAATCGGAAATTATTCTGAGTTCTTTTTCTTAGAGAACTCATTTCCAAGCTGCAGGGCCTTAGTATAGTAATCTTTCTCAAATTTTGACAATGTCGGTAAAAATTAGCGTTCATTGAACGTGGTTTTCGATCATATCCAAATTATTAAGTTTAGGTACTCGTCCGACACAAAATTTGAGTAATTTAATTTCTTAAAGAATACGTTTTTCGCTTTGATACACTGTTTAGTAGTAATACAAAACTTTCACTTAATCTTTGAACTTTGCTCAACTTTAAATAGAAATTATTTTCTGGCCATGTTGGGCTATTATAAAATTTTTGAATTGCATTTTTAATTGAGCTAAACTAAAAGATTGCAGCTAACAAATCATAAATACTATTAAAATAACAAAAGTCCTATTTATTATAACACCGGTTGACTATGGATTGTACGACTATTAATTATTAAACTGTTATTTTCCATTACAAAGTTTACTAAAACGGAATTTAGAGATTTGCATTCTCAATCATAGACAGGCCAAAAGTTGCAAAACTAATTGTAAGTGGATTCTGTTGGAATATTGCAAAGGAAAAAGTTATCAAATTATTCACTAATTTAATTTTCTAAAAGGTTACATGATGGTTTTTCGGTGTAAATGGACGATTGATACCTCAATATTTAAATATAATATCAGACCTAGAGTTATTAAACTACAGTAAATATATTTAAGGTAATAAACGTATCTATGAAATATTTTTGTATTTCACTTCTTCTTTCACAAAAGTACAATGAAATAGCAGTGGATACTGTTGGAATATCACAAACGGAGGATTCATTAAATTATTCACTAATTTAATTCTCTAAAACGTTTCATTACAATTTTTCGGAATAAACGTTGATACCTAATTATTAAAATATATCAGATCTTTAATCACTATACTACAGTAATTGTATTTAAGGTTATAAACATATGCTTTATACATTTATAAAATGATTTTATATTTTACTTCTTCTTTCACACAAGCTCAATAAAATAGTTTTTTTAACAATGCCATTGCCTTGGTTAGGTGAATTTCAAATACTTTTTTTTCAATCTTAGAAGAACATTTAAAAGTTTACATATAGTAAGAAAATTTCATTAATTTCCTTGAAAACATGTGATTTACGTTAAATAATATTAGTTTAAAAAACATATTTTTTAAACTTTTTTCGCAGATCTCCGTTACATTTTACAGCTTTCTATATTAGATGTTGTTTTTTTCTAAAATTCTCCGCTTTTCAACGATATATTATGTGTATGTCTTTTGACTAGTATTTCCGGAGATTCATTTTCGACCTGGATAAGCATTTTTATTTTTTTTCTCTCCTTTATTAAATTACCAAATTATTTCAAAAGTTATATTTAGCATTTTTTTCGTAACTCTTAATAATGAGAGATAGTTAATTATTTAAAATAAACCATATTAAAGGTACTTTAGAGGAAGACGCATATGGACATTGATCATTTAAGCCCTGTAAAGTGACACCAACGGGGATAAGACCTAAATGATATTAAAGATCACTTAATTATACAATGATACACCGAGTTTAATGAAAATCGTTATAGCCGGTTTTGAGAAAATTGTTAAAATGTCTTTCAGCGTTGATATAAAGTAGTACTTCCGGTTAGCCGATTTTAAGGAAAAAGTTTCCAGGACATTTAAGGCATATATCCATCTTAAATATGTAATACCAGTTTCGTACAACTTTTAGGTTTCGACCTAGAGTGTTCACATACACACAGAAACATAGACCATTTTTCAGGAATTGGTTATTTGGACTCAGGGTACCTCAAAACGTGTATTTACGTTGAAAACTCAGATTAAAAAAAATTCACGATCACGATACTTACACTTATTATATATTACATATTTAGGTAAGCGAAAGTAAAAAAACAGATAATTCTGGATTTTTTGCCTGTAAAAATTTTCTCTTGGTGGCCCGTGTTTACTTGGTGAGCAATTTAGTTGTTTACATTTCTAAACCCAAATGCAGTGTCTCGTAAATAGAGAGAAATATTTAAAAGAGTGATAGCAGAACTCAATAAATACAAAAAAGTTTATATAAACAATCATTCGATTTTCAGCAGAAAAGCAGGGAATTAAAGTTTTGTGATTTTTTATGTGTCAAGTTTTTTGTTGAATAGGAAGTGATAGCAAAAAAAAAACTATTTAATTAAATGCTTCACTGTAAACTAGAAAAAATTCACTTTAAATAAAAATAGAGTTTGCTATAGAGATCTAGAAACGGAAATTAGTATCAGGAGACTGAAATTCCACGGACATATGGTAAGAATGGCCCCAGAAAGACTTAACAAGGAAATATTCCAAAAAATCCGTAGATACAAAAGCTTGGGAGGATACATCAGGCAGATGAAGGAAGAAACGGAAAGACTTGGAATAACGGACCGGGACTGTCTGGACAGAGAGGGGTATGGTAAGAGACTAAAGGAGATCACGGTTCTTGCTAAGAAGAAAAGTTCGAGAAGGGAGTCGCGTGGACGGAGGAGAGAAAGCGGCGGGCGGCACTCGGAGATAATGAGAGAGAAGTGGAAAGAAAGGAAAAACAAGAAAGAAGCCAAATGTCATGATATTCGCGTGGTCTCTATGGCCGTTCCGTGGAAAAAAAAAAAAAAAAAAAAAAAAAAAAGAGTTTGCTTTTTTTAAACTATTTAAAGAGTTTTAATAATTATTTTTTAAAACCATTATTTTTTATAACTGAGAATTTCTCTGTTTATTAATCTCATTTATTCGTCTGTTTCTGGAGTTAGTAGTCTACAGCAAACTCCTTGAACTTTGATTTTTTTTTTTTCTTTGTTCCTCTTTTCGTTCTTGAAATCTAGAAAATTCTCTTGTTTTCCTTATTTTCCATCCTGGAAAAACAATTGTTCAGTGGCTGGATACATTCAAAGGTGAGTTTCATTCAATAATTTAGTAAATTTATAATTTAGTATTGTTTTTATTTTTGGAAGTAGCACGAATGAATTAAATTGATAAATAGGATAAATGTGTCAAAAGAGATATATTTTTAAAAAGAATTATTGTCAGGTGAAAGACAGGCATGGAATAGCCTACCGACGGAGGATTTGGCTGCAAATATCTAACTTGTCGACAGAAATCGGAAATGCTACCGGATTATCAGCCCTGTCCTATTTAACAACAAACTTCGTTGGATTCCTCCTGTCTATGTACGGTATCCTAATCAACCTCAACAGTCCAGGCTCAACTAACGTTCCCATTTTGGGTCTAATACTACCAGCTATCGGGTGCGCAGTCACGATCTTCTTGAAGGCCGATGCTGCATACAGAGCCACTGAGCGGGTAGGTAACTTTGAGTTCATGTATGTCCTTCAAATAAATAAAATGTATTTATAGTAGGCTCAAAGGAGTTAGCTTGTTTTCCTTGCTATAGGATATAGATTCTCTTCAGTTAATACACAACTGAACTGTACTCAGTGTCATAATACTGATACATAGAGTACTCCCTTCAGAACCATCTTTTCTGAGATTCCTAGGAATTACCTGCCCACTATTCCTCCAATGGAGATTTGTATAACTGGTTGGGAGAGCTTTCGATCTCTCAAGAGATTATGCTATTCGCCCAGATGGAGAATCATTGAAAAAACGCCTAACAGTGCTAAGGAGATACTAAAAGAAAAAAATTACTAAGTTTATCTCTTGAACTTGGAGTTTATTCTCATCTTTGATGTTCGATGTATTTATATTTTAATTATAATTACTTGAGACTGTTATACGTAGTATAAGAATGAGAAGAAGAATTTAAAGTATGTCTTTTACCTCCATTTTAACCTACGACTCCATTTTCAAATTTAAAATAATTTTTTTTTGTATTTAAATATTTTAAAGTTTTTTTTTTTACCAGAAATTTGGTAAAAATATGTCACTTTTTAACCAAAAACTAGTCTTACAACTTTTATAATTTCGGAGCTGAAGTGTCGAATTTTAAATCTGCGAGAGCGATTCAAAAGTGAAACTTTTTTTATATTTCAAACATTAATCGAAAAAATTCACTCAAAAAAGATGTAAGGTAGATTTCCAAGGGTCAGAATGAGAAAAAAAAGTTCAAGTTCTATTAGGTTCTTCGCGAACTTGGCAGTACAACTAGGCCGAAAATAGATCGCGGTGCACAGACGATGGTCGACACAGAGCAATTAAACTACATACAGGTCCAGTTACCACCACATTTTCCCAAACACCTAGAATAGATGGCGAATTCATAAGTGGATTGAAACGGAAGGTTTTTTTTTTCTTTATTCTTTGATTTTATTTAAAGCAAAATGTACAAATGTCAGTAGATCTCCAAAAAACTGAGACAGTTGCACAGTTTGGAATGAATACTGTACATAACTATCCTCGTATTAGTGTTACTGAATCACCAACATGCAGTCTTCGTTGAAAAGGATCTATGAACTCTTTGTTCATTGACCGAGTCTGCATTACAGGGTGTTATTCCCAAAGCTAAGATCGAGGGTAAGTATACTGGGCTGTTACTATGTCATACAAAGAACAATTACATTCAACGACACCTCCCATGCAACAGAAACAGTATACAAATGTGAGAAATGGACAACAGAGTTAGCACAAAAGCCCATTGATTTCTCTTGAAAAAACGATAGCAGGTGGAATAATTATTAGTTAATTAGATATATGATTAACTAATTAGTCACTAATAGAGTGAACAAAAGCCTAATGAAACACCCTAATTATACAATCGTATTCCCCCTAAAAATTCGTATTTTGTGAAATGTGTAAACATACCTTTACATTAATAAATATTAAGTGGAGGTGGTAGAATTTGAAAATGATTTCCTACGCTGATTGATCCTCGTTCAAAAAAATTCACAGCCAAATTTCCATTTCCTGACCATTAACAGGGAATAATTTATTATTTTTATTTACTTTTTTACATGAAATATTAAATTCAATTTAAGTACTATGATATATAATGTACTTCATTAATTATTATTATTGTTTTTCAGGTAGGATCTAGATTTACAAATAAACTTCTCCAAATAGATCAATCCTCTTTGCACCGAAGTAGTTTGAATGAGGTTAGTACTGTGCTATGGTCATGTCTCTACATAATACGTGATGTAATATTTGAAAAAAAAAATGTATTTATTGTTTTGAGCAAAAGTAATTTCTAAATTTTTATTTGTAGATAAATCTTATGTTTAACTGTATATCAGCAAAATCTCCGGTCATTGAATACTTAGGTTTTATGAAAATTTCGCGAAGCACATTTTTGCATGTAAGTATCACAATTATAAAAATTCTGTAACTGACAAGATAGAAAATTCAATAACCAACAATAGCAAAATTGGTTAATGTTAATGTTGTTGATATTTGTTTATCTGCTATTCAGGCTCACACACATCCCCCCCCAAAAAAAAACTACAATGCGAGATTAATAATATTAAATATAAATTATAAATAATAAGTCATTACAAAGGAGATGAAATGTTGACCATTTCCCTCGCTTAAAGTACACATGTCCGATTTTTATTATCTGAAATATTTTAATCCATATGTTCAACTAACATCGTTATCATTTGGTTTTCGACACTATTTTTTCCTATTTGCTTCCCTGACACGGCGTCACGTTAAGATACAAGTTTGAATTATAGCCTATTACAGAGAGGATGAAATGCTGAACAATTTCCTCGCTTACAGTATCCAGGGCCGATTTTTAGTTTCTGAAATATTTTAATCCATATGTAAAAACATTTCAATTAGTCGACTCTAGCCGACTTCACCCGAGTGTTAAAACTTCGGAAATCTGACGGATCAATCTAATTCACTCACCACATAAAAGTGTAAAACGCGCCTACAGAAGTTCTCAATTCGAAAATCTACCAAGTAGGAGCAGTATAGCTTCTTCAACCTTTCAATTAGGCACGTGATTATAATGTATCAAGATAAATACTTCGTCGTTTGAAAATAAAATTAACTCAACCGTTAATTAAGTTTAAGTTAGTAAGTTAACGCCGTTTTTCAAGCATAACTAGATAATTTGCGCGTCCGTAACTGAAAGCAGTTTAATGCACTTGATTGAATTGATATCATCTATCCACTCAATCAATGAATTTTTAATAAAAATCGGATTCACTGTTGTAGGGATAAGGATCGGAATTAGGGAGGGGCAAATCAGGCACCTGGCCAGGGCGCCAAAAGGATATTATTATTCAGCTAAAAAAACAAAACACTTTTTGGTGATTTTGACCTTAATTCAGTGAATGATATGAGTTAGTGTTATGTGATAACAATATTTATTCTGAAAGATGTTAATTTAAATATTGTTAAGCGTACCTTACACGGTCAGTCGGAATGTTATTCCGAGGCACTATTGAAATTCTGATTGATCATGTAAGGCAGAGGTGTCCATCCTCCTCTCCTCCCCCCAAGGTCGTTGAAACTCACTCCTTCCCTCCTCCCAATATATTTTATTGCTCTCCTCTTCTTAATTACAGTATAAGCTAAAGTAGAAATTTAAAAATCATAGGTCATACACAATTATACTTTCAGTGGTCTGTTCTATACTTTCCTCTTGTCCCCTGGTTTGAAACATTTCATTTCGGAAATTCATAACCTCGTCGAAATGTGCCCCACTCAAAAATATTGATGGCGCAACTTGTGCCATGAAATCGCCTCATGGACACCCCTGGTTAAGGTTAAGATTGATGAACACTATATGAGCTAAAATGGCGTCGTTCAGATTGATGCATGTATGGTTCCTTGTGATTGAAGCAATCCTTCTTAGTCTTGTGACTGTCATTTATGATTTTATAGAATACAGTTTATATATGTTGATTTCTATAGGAGGAGTAGAGGAATAAGTCCTCAATTGGAGGCAAAATTAAGCTTTCCCTCCTGGTATAAATCCTAGTATCAGAGTCCAGGTAGGTTCTATGTCCATCAAATGGAATTTTATACAGATATACCTGGAACTAATTTTTCAAAACCGCACAATGGAAATGAAAGTTTTGATTATGAGGATAATTTTTTTACAATATATGTAATTTTGTTTGCACTTCCTGCATAAATACAAAGGTTTCATACCTTCCATATTGAGGAAATAATAATGTTTGTTATTATTATTCAGTGTTTTTCATGCAGCCCCTTTGTATTATAATGAGCCATTAGTGATTTCAGAAAAAAGTTAATTACTTACACAATAATATTTTCCTATCAGTAAATTAATTACACATTAATAATTATTAATCATTAAATTAATTATACAATAATCATTATCTATCAGTATAAAAATTACAGAATAACAATTATCTTCTATTTGTCAACAGTTTGTATCCTATTCAGTTACATACCTAATTGTTCTTTTACAAATGAAGACTCAACCAAAACAGCTGAAGAATGATCGTCTTCCTGATATTGCTGGAAATAAGACTGGTTTTGAAGCACTTACATTAAGTTAAATTTATCTCTATCTTTCAGATCCCCAGATTGTAACCAAAAGATTCATTCAATTCTTTTTAATGTTGTAAATAAATATTGTCATGTAAATTCAAAATTATTTTAATACATTTTTTTTTTTTTATATCTTCTCAATTATTACATCTACTGTTCAATGCAGAAGATATGCAGAACTGCAAACATAATTTTAGAAAAAATATTATCTCCTTAGAATGTGATAATTTTCATTATTTATTTTTAATTATTTGAATGCTGTTCAATAATTAGTATTGATACATTAGAAATAAAATGCTTCATTTCTTTTAATTAAAACAACTATTAACAAATATTATAATTAATAATGAAAACAAATAAAGGATTTTAATTGGTTACATATGATTTTGGATGGGATACGCCACAGGATATAATTCCCTCTTTCATTTATAATATTTATATATTAAATCTTACATTATTAATTATCTTACATTATTAATAATACTAACACTCATCAATAAAATTACATAATCAATCAAATAAATCTATGATTTAATAAAATTTTACACTGTGTTTTTAATTTCTCCGATTTTAACATTTATACATCTAAACTCTATGAAAAAAATAAATAAAGTAATAAATTAAATTTTTTAAAATGAAAGATAGAAAAAACCAGCGAAAGCAAAAATATACTTCAATAACTATAATAATAATAATATTATACTATATAAATTTTTAAAAATACAAAATTATACCTTAATACCTTGGGCAGTTATTAAAGGCCATCTCTACTCCTTTTCATTTTTTCTTTCTATTTCTATGTTTCCTCATTATTCATTTATCATTTATCATTATTCCTCATCATTCATTAACATGCAATTATAAATTAGTTATTGTATTATTTGTTGGTCATACAGGAATATTATAGTAAGATGGGGAGTGTATGTTTTGTAATATTTTTATTTTTTCTAAAATATATTCAGGTTAATTTTACTTGTTTTTATGAAATCAATTTTTTTGTTTTATTTTTTACAAATAAATTAAGTCAGAAGAGAATAGAAATTTTTCAATACTAATCTTTGTCTTCTGATCCAGGTATCTGCTTCTAAAATGTTTAGCCTAGACATGTGCATGAAGATATAACTCTCCTTTTTACTTCATATATCCCATCCAATGCTAGATACCTCTTGTATTCTCCAAATAAATTACCTACTACCCTTATTTACTATTACTCTATTTTCAACCTTTAATTCTGATTCTGGTTTTACTTATCTTAATTGATGATTACATTTCTTAGTCATGTAGTTCAATTTATAGAATATTAAAAATTATTTTTATAAAAGGGAATTAAACTCTAAAAAATACAATGCTATTGTATGCAAAATTAAAAACTTTCATATAATCATCGCAAATATAACTAAAAAAAGTAAAAATAAATAATCTAATCCAGCATTTACAAAGTAAAAGTGATTAATTGGCCTAATTCATAACATTTTTATCCCATCTTTTGTTTTTGGTACTTTGAATTTTATATTTATTGAAATAATAAGTTAATATTATTTATAAAAAATTTATAGACTGACAATCATTAAAATACTGAACAGCGCGTAGAGATATATCGAGAAGGTAAGTTGCAACACGTTCTTGCTTATTGGCCTATATGATATGCTTATAACTAGCCATGAAATAGTTATTTTTAATACCTTCGTACAAAATTAATACCTCTTTTATGTACCGATTCTTGTTATAATCACAGAGGATGCTAAGAGCAAATGCATTGTCTATTGCGGGCTGAGAGCATGCATAGCACAACACTTCTTTATTGGGATCATATTCGGTTACTTTATCTGATATTTCATTCAAAGAATTAAAAATTAGAGGGATTGTTACTACATTCTTGATTTCAAAGGAGCATGTCAAACCACAGCGGCCTACATTTGTTGTTAAACACCTTTCATAAAGTTCCTCAACTGTACCATTAGATAACAATGTCTTAGAATACTTTATCGATGATTCATCTCCGTAAGTTGTAAACACAACAAGTTCATGCATAAGAGGATCATAAATAAAGTCATCAACTTCAACACCAAAGTTTTCTATTTTTTTTACAATTGAATGTATTAAAAATAAATTTGCCTTACGTATATATTCCCTCATGAACTTGAGAATTTCTCTTTCGTTATTTGCTCTTGACTCTAGTTCCTTAACATTTGGCAGAGACACATTGTCCTTAGTATCTCTCAGTTCGTGGTATATTGCAATCCTTTTATTACCCGTCTTATCGGTTCTGACTTGCATTTTAAGATTTCCACATGGGCAACAGAACATCAGCTCAATAAGTCTGATTTCAAAAGGTGTCCATTTTTCAGAAGAATAAAAATGAACCTCAATTTCTTCAGTGAATCGCCGTAAAAAATTTTCTAAATGCTCATGTACAACTTTGCTTTTTTCTCCTTTCCATTCTTCTTCCCCCAGTGCTTTCATTTCACTCTGGACTTCTTCAAAAATTGGGCCTAAGAAATTTGATAAAGCACACCAAACATGCATGTCATTACGATATCTCCACACCAATATATATAGCAGGGAAACATCCATTTGAAGACAGCGCCAAGCAAGTAATGTTCTAACCAAACCAGGATGTAACATTTTGTGAGTTCTTACAATATTCAGCAATTTAGTTTGCAATCGAGTTACCTGTTTCCTAATTTCAAGTCTTATATTTGTTAACATGCCTTTAACGTTTAGTGCCACAGCGATTCGGAATGATCTACATTCATTCTGTAACATAACTGTTTGTCTTGGTGGTAGATACTTAAAAATATTAACAAGCATTTCTAAAGGCAGATCTTGGATGCGTTTTTTCCAGCCAAATAAATCCATTGGTGAAGCAACTGACCGAAAAAATGTACATAATTTTTTTACAGCTTCCATTTTTCTATTATTAACTGTGAAAGTTGTGTTTGTTAAATGAGTTGTGAACAATTAATGGGGTTAACAGAAAATACCACAGCTGGTGCAAAATATTAAATGAACTATTTTTTTAAGATAAATATCATGACAATATTTAAAGTTAATTTTATGTAGGTTATTCATATTTGAAAAATGGAATCGTCAGCTTTTCAAGGATACCTGAATAATAATTTTTATTTCTGCTAATCTTTTTTTCTTAGAGCCACACAATCTTTTTAATTTTAATTACTTTTCTGAAATAACCTAAATACAATTCTAACTGGAACATATGAAGGCTTTGAATTCAAATTCTCTGATCATATGTTTTCTAATATTTATTTATAATGGAAACATTCAAAATTTAAAGCTGAAAACTGGGCTTATTAAAACAGTCACTAAAAAAATTAAATAAATAAATAATAAAAGTATCAACCAATGCTTTAAAACTGTCCCTACCTGGGTTTCCACTCAAGTGAAAAAGTTTTTCACCCTTTTTAATGTAATTCTAAGATTGGGAGTGGAAAAACAGGGAAACAATTAATCAATTAAAGCTTAATCTGAGAACAGTTTAATCTATTTTTTTAATAGCAGTAAGTAAAACAGAAATAAAACAAGTAGTTACATGTAATATTAGGTGTTGTTTTGTATACATTTAGACAGGAGGGATTTTAAGGCTTGCTCTGAGGGATAAAAAAGAAAAATCGATGGTCCCTACAGATACAGAGGTTTCATCAGGGTGACATAATCATTTTTAAAGTTTCAACATTTTATGATTTGATGATTTACCTCAAAAACCTTGTTTATTCATAAAAACAAATCTTATATAAGGAAACTAAAACTGTATTTCTAATAGAGAAAAATTTAAAAAATAGATGAATCTCTTGTATGTCACATTTTGAAAAATACTTGACACTGTTGAAAACATAACACGACAGATTACAAGTTCTAAAGTAAATCAGTAACTATTATGTATTTAAATGACTTTAGAATATTTGTGAATTAGACTTAAAAGGTTTTAGAACAAAGACTTTGTATATGTTAAGTATTCATCTTCTTTCTATCATTTATCATTTATCACTTATAATTTCTATAAGTTTTCACAAATTGTGAAACACTTTTCTTTTCTTGATAAAATCTACTCAATTTGAAACACAAAAAGCATAAGTTTTAAATGGTTGATAATTATAGTAGTTACAAACTTTACAATTAGTATTATCTTTTCTTTCGTAATTATTTTAATAAAATTTTGGAAGAGAAAACAATTTTTTTTATTACACTACATATCAATTTATATAATAAAATGCAGTTCTACAATGGACTAAGAAACTATTTCATAAGGGAATTAAAATCAATTCGGCAAAGACCAGATTGTACTGATTGAAATAAATTAAGAACTGAACTTCACTTGTAATGGTGTTCACATGTAATGTTCGTCATTACATGGGCGCCCTATAAAGTAAAGTTGGACGCATTGACCAAAATATTTCAAACAAGGTCAATAAAGCAAATGGAGTCTTTAAATTTTAGATTAAATGATCACTATAGACAACAAGCTATTGTTTAATTTTTCTTTAAATCAATAATTTTTACTTTCCCAACTATACTAGTTAAGAAAAGTATTGCAATCGAGTCAAATTTCTGATATGCGGTTTTTGGCGGATCTATATGTTTCAGAGCCCCCTGAGTCCGAAAAACGCATTATTATTATTATTTTTTTTTTTTTTGCAAGTTAATGAAATTCCCTACAAAACTGTATGAAAATCGTTCATTTCGGACAACTATTAACCTAGTTACAGCTATTCAATTCCCAATGTAAGATTACGGGTTCATAACTTGGTGTCAGAAAGGGATGAATATGATAAAAAAGATAACTAAGTGAAAGTAAGAAAATCTGTTGCCCGCATCACACAAGCTTAACTGTTTCTTCTACTTTTAAACAGAAACAGCAATATTAGAGAGTATTGAAATTTTTATACTGATCTACCTTAAACCGGTTTATGTTACTTTAGTTTCTCGATTAAATCGATCTTTGATCAATTTTCAAAAAAATAAATCTAATTCAATTTGTTTTTGTTTCTTGACAGACATATGTAAAGATATAAAAACTTCTGAAATAGGTAGGAAAGTTGTGTGAGTGGACATACCAGATTTTTTTTCTTGTGATCCTACTTAGAGCTGAGCATTAGATTGCCATAGAGAAGCATTTCTCGAGAAAAACCTCTCTACAGATGATCTTCCTCAGAAGAATCATTAGTATAACCAAGAATGATTGTATCCAAAATGAAGCCGAACTGGATATTGTCTTAGTTATGACACAAATAGAGTTATCCCAACTTAGGTGGTTTGGATGAGTGTGTAGAATGGCTGGAAGACAAAATAGTAGTTGGGAGCCAGACCAGAAGTGTGAAGAGCAGTAGAATGCATACAGAAAGTGCTTGCAAGGATTAAGAAAAAGGAGGGGAAAGATGCAGCTTCTGATGCGCCAAATGGCCAAACATGGGAATGAATAGTATAAGTGGACCGAAGTTCATACTCTATGCCAAAACGCCATAGAAGCAAGAGGAAGAAGAAGATTTTGAAAATATTTATAATAATTTTACAGAAACCGGTTAAAACTAGAGGAAATAAAAACATACATATGTAGAATACATTTATTACAAAAATACAGTCAAAACTCCCAGCATGGATTACATTAGCGAACCCCACCATCAAATTAAAAAACTAGATGAGTATTTTAATACTATAATTAAAGACTATTTTATAAAGTAATTACATGGCACCTCTAATTAATTTTCCAGAACTTAAAAGTAGTTGTCATGGACATATTTGTTATATGTTGATCCACATTTTCAGAAAATCTTAAGTTATTTAAATTATATTTACAAAATAAATTTTGACTTTAGCACAATTTTCAAATTTCTAATTTCTATTTTGATATTTCTTAATAAAGGTTCTAGAGTTGACAAATTTGAGTGAATAAATAGTAATAAATATCACAATATTTTTAATGGTAAACGCTGCTCGGGTAGAATTTTTATTATTAATCAAAGCTGCTTCACAATACTTAGCTAACCTAATGACAGCAAATTAATTTGTTGATGTTATATTTACCTTTGATCTTTTTCTATTTTATAAATATAAAATAGAACAGATGAATATATACATATATATACATACAAATATATAAATATATGTATATATATATATATATATATATATATATATATATATATATATATATATATATATATATATATATATATGTATATGTATAAGGTTACTTTATAAAATTATTCATTTTCTTTGAAAATTAAATATTTTATTCAAAATTCTAGATTGTGTTTGTGTATCTGAAGTTATGCTTCATTAGTTTGTATTAGCTACTGCAAATAATAGCACCACTTCGGCATTCAATATGCACCAATTGTATTCAATAGACAGCTTCTATTCCTGAAGCGTAAGTATCTTTGATTATTAAAAAAAATATTTTAATCAACGACAATATTTTTTAAACTTATTTTATTATGAAATTATATTCAGACTATTAATATCTAATGATCATTGTTGTGTAATATTTAGTAAATTAAAAAACAAACAAACAATGCAATTCATTCTATAAGAAAAATTGAATTGTTAAATAGAAAAATAAAATAATATTTTTCTGTTAGACAGTACTTTTCATCTTATTTGTTTCCTTGTTTTTTTAATGAGTGTTTATTCTATTAATAGTTGTTTAAAACATTTCCAAAACGATTTAACCACATCTAATATAATTTAATCAATTCACATAAAAAATGTGAGAAAAATTCTCTGTCTCTGGTCAATTAAGATAACTATTTACAAATACTTGTATTCTTATTTACAGCCTCTATTTGCAAATGCCTAGTAAGATTTCAACAATACTGAAACTGAACAATATCACTGACAAAAATTTAAGCTTTTATCACAGACTTCTCTTGTTCTTTGATTTGTTCGCAGTATGGAACTTTAGGAATGAAGGCACTGAAGACAGCTCCAACTGTTAAAAAATAAAATTGTCCATAAGCAAAAGTTAAAAAGTGAAAAACTTAATTAGATAATACTAACAATTACTCACGTAATATAATAGCTGCACATAAGAGAATTGGTACAAAACAGCTGACATCTAGGAGGTGACCTAGAACTAAATTTGAAACCATAGCTCCAAGTCTTCCTGACATAACACACATGCAGATAGCTATACCACTGGAAAATAAATATTAATCAATATTTAAAGTTTTATAGAAAGAGAATTAAGTACTTGAAACATCTACAGTATATATATATATATAAGTATGACTTGACAATCATTATAAACACAAAATAAAATTTTGAAAGTCTAATTTTATTTTCTAATTTTTGGGCAACCAGAATATTTTTTGAGAAACGCATATGGCATATTTGGTTTTTGATATCCATTGATTCATTTCTCTGTTCGATTCTTGTGTCTAAATCATTAAAGAAAAATCAAATTATAATAATATTAAATCTTTATTTTGACATTTTAGCCTAGATATTTTATTCCGTTGTTCTTGTTATTAAATAAGAGATCAATCAACTGTATCTTTTAAAACTGCAGACAAATTAATAGTGATTTTGGAAGTAATCTTATATTTTAAACTTTGTATATCATTAAATACCAAAAAATATTGAAAACCTTTTCATAGCACAAGATTCATACTGATGAATCTACTGAAGACAATAGCATAATTTCATTATATTTACAATATTAACTCCAGAATTAATTAATGAATTAATGAATAATTAAAGAAAACTTATGGCTTGGTTAATTTTAATTAAAAATTTTTAAATCCAGAAAATAGTTGCATAATAATATATATTACCTAATATCTGCTGGGAACATATCAACTACTAGAGCATTGTACACCATATTGCAGGTTCCTATGCAGAATTGAAATATTGTTGAAACCAAGAGATTTTGGAAAGAGCTTTGTACTAAGTACAGAGTTAATACTGAAACTCCTGCTGCAGCCATTAATATCACTACAACATAAAAACAGAATAGCATGTTGTGAATAATAAATTTATTTGTGTTACGCTAAACAATTTATATTTGAAATTTGTCAAAATAGTATAAAAAATTCTCAAATATTCTAAATATTGAACACTTTCAACTCAATTATATTTATAATACTATATATTCCATATCTTAAAGATTTTTACTCTGTTTCTCGGTCATTTATGGTTCTGTTTTAAAATCGTAAACAAAAATATGCACATCAGTCAGTAAATTTTATTTTATTTAAAAATATTTTCAACTGTGAACATTAAATATGCTTTTTGAACTGTGACTTTAAAATGCAAATAGAAAAAATCATACAACAGGTAACATAGACTGAGGCTACTTGAAGCCAAGTAAGAAAAAAGTTTTAAATTATATGAAGGGCTCTTGTCTAAAAAATACAGATTTGATTATTATTATTTAGGGAAACTCCTTGTTTCTCAGCATTTGCTGGTAACAGCTTATAAACTGGACCTAACTCAAGGGCTAGAAAAATCATTCTTTGATATCCATAAATTTTCTCACAATGCTTACAGTTCTGAGTAACACTGCCTTCTGCATTTGTTCTAAACTATTTATAGTAAAGTCAAAAGAGTTCACCGAACATGTCCGGGATCAAACCATTTCCAGATATGACCAACGAACAATCCCTCACTTTATCAAGTCTATACAAGTTATTCAGTTCCCCACTAAGGTCCTGATATTTGCAAATGTTTTCAGCTACCAATTTTTGAAGATTCTCATCTGATGGTACCAATATTTTGATAATCTTTGCAAGTTTTTCATCTTTTAAAATAATTACAATAATATGACAAGTTATTTTAAGTGCAAAACCAGCTAGATTCTGAGGCACTTCACCACATTTCCACTACATTTTAACTTTGATTCCAAATAACTCCAAACTATGGCACTCATAAATCAAAATATTAAACAAAGAGATCGTATTTTGTACAAAAATATAAAACTACCTGGCATGACTGGTCTTGGAAACTTTGAAGACAAAAGGCCTGATAATCCATTTCCAACAAGACCCATTGATCCTATTACGAGAGACTGCATGAAAACTGTTGATGGGATCACACATTCTTCATTGCTTTCTTCAGAATTGTCAACTTTTGAAGTCAAATCACATAACGTAACAGTTTTATTACTGACTGCATAGTGGGCCTCGAATCTGTTTACTAATTCAGGTAGCCAGAGACCAAGTCCATAGTATCTGAAACATAAAACATTTTATAACAATAAATGTTAAAAAATTGGTGAAGTTTAAGTTTTGTCTTAAATTAGTGCAATGGAATTATAAAGACAAAATATAAATTTGATTTTTTTTGGACTTGAAGAGTTTTTCTGAAACCAATAGACTAAAATAGGGAATCAACCATTTGGAAATAACAGAGTAGCTACTTAAAATAAGTGATTGGGGATATAGAAAGCTCCCTTAGTCTTGTAAAACTTACAATTTAATTTGTTTTACAAAAATTTAGTTAATCATTTTGATTTATGCAAAATATATATGATTTATGCATGACTGGTTCACTTCTGCTGATTGGTCAGTAAACAGTACATTTTCCTGAAGGTGATATCATATTATTTCAGAATCAACAAAAACAAATTAATTTAGCTTGTTTAAGTAAAGGAAATTTAAATAATTCATTTAATTTTTTGATACAATTTTTGAGATTTTAAAGAGCCTTTTTTGTTTATCAACAGATAACTTTCATTATGTAAATACATTTTGTATAAATCAAAAATGCACAAATAATTGGAAAAATGTATGTAAAGTATATTTTTTAAAACAATACACTGAAATTAACATAACTTTCATTCAAATAACTGTTATAAGAGTCTAACTGTATAAAATAATGTATATATATTTTAACAGATTTTATTAATATTAATATTAATGGTTATTGTCTGCAGTAAGCCATAATGGAATTGAAAAAATATTACAAAGATAAAAGCAATATCCTGCATCCCATATGTTAAAAGTTTTGAAAAGCAATAAAATTATATTTTATTTACATAAACTTATAAAGAAAATTTATGAAATTACTAACATACTAATCACGTATGCTTTTTAGTTATAATACCTGGTCAATTCTAATAAAACACAAAAGAAAAATTTATTTTATTCAACATTCAGCATTACAAATTTGCAATATATATATATATATATATTGCTATGTTATCAAAGAAAATTCAATTTTTTGAAGAATTCTTAAGTTCAATTTCATTGGAATTAATTTGATTTAATTATATAGGATCCAAGACTTATATTAAAGGAATTGTTTTTTCTATTTTTTAATACAATCAAAGTCATTGAAAACTACTTTACAGAAAATTCCTATTCTAATATTAAAATTGTGGATATTTGAATTAAAACATCAGATCAACAATCAATCGATTAGTCATAAATATTTTTTTTATTATTTTGGAAATTTATTATGTATCCCATAAACACATAGGAGGATAGTCTACCAGGGAATTAATTAAATTGCATAAAAATATCTAATGAAAAATATATATATGGAAATAGTTGCTTACCCGAACATGTTTGAGAAAAATAAGAAGCAGCCGAGTAAAGTTATTGGAAGAACTGGCATAGCAAGAAGTGACTGCCATTGGGTGAGCATCATTTTCAGGGGTCGCCAGATTGATTTTGGTTCTTCTTTAATCGCAGAAGTATTTGTAACATAATCTAATGATTTCACCTAAATAAAAATTAATTGCTTAAGAATTCATCTCAAATTAAGAGCTATTTTTATTTGATAACATTTAAACAGATATAGAAAAATAAAATCACTTATTGTAAATTCAAATATTGTTTTTGCTTGACTATGACTAAGGATGTATCCTTAAATGTATTATATTAGTCTATAATCCTGGCTTTGTTTAACTCTTGTCTGAGAATTCCTTTTCAAATACTGATCATATACCCTTCATGGGTTGTAGTGAAACTGGTTTCATCTACATTTGATAATGAAATATCTGTAGGTAATACTAAATAAGAATATAAAAATTAAGTACTTACAGGGTAATTATCAGCTTTTTTTCCAGTATTAACTTCCCAAATGCTTGAAAGGATATCAAGAGTCTCAGGAGCCCTTCCTTGAGCCAGTAGGAATCGCGGGCTTTCAGGGTAACGATGGATAAGTACTGATGAGATGAGGGAAGGTACACTCACAAGAAGTATTATGAACCGCCAAGAGGAGTAGCTATATCCACCCCAATGGAGGTGTATATTCATGGGTATGATAAGCCATGCTACACCTGAAATAAAAGGAATGTGGAATATTTTACCATGTTTCCAATAAATGAACTAGTTCTTTGAATTTTAATATATTTCTTTGAAAATTATCTTAAATTCATTTAATTTTTACTTTCATTAGGTACCAAATATGAAACAAAAGACACAGAAACATTTAATGTATGTTTGTAATGTATATTCAACAGAAGGAAAAAAAAATTGAAAATTTTCCAAAAGCATGTATTGAATAATAGAATTTTCTAAATAAAATAAAAAAAGTGTAGTTTTATCGCTTCTTTCATGGGATTTCTTAACAGGTATTCTGGATTTTATTTTTCTGCAAGGTGTCTTTTATTTTTCCCTATAATGTTTCATTTTCTTTGATAAAAAAAAAAAAAAATAATAAATCCACCACATTACAAAGTCTCAGCACTGTTCTGTGGATCCTTGAGTGAGCTAAATAAGCCTAGTCAACTACACACAATTTTAAGGAAATAATTTAATTACTTGTCAAAATTACTAAGAACTACTATAAAAAAAAAAATCTTTTCATTAAACCTAACTGGTTAAATGGAACAACAAATTATTTCACAAGTAAATTCTAAATGTATAATTTAGTAGTAATTGTTAAGTGTTACTATACTTTTAATTAGATTAACTTTAAATGTATTCATTGTTTAATAAATACCTGGAAGTATCACCCATGAAACTGTCCAGAAGAAACCAAGGTAACATATTACTTGCTGTCTTTTACTGCCAGGTTGGAATTCACCAACAAATGCTGGAATTATTGCTGCTGGGCCACCGACTCTGTTGAATATCATAGTTGTATGAATATAACCTTTTATTTTTTATAATTATTATTAGAGACGGTAAAATTTATTTCTAACTTTTGTAATACTAATGTTTTGGTTTTTAAAAATATAGGAGGCTAAGGAACATTTTTTATGATAACGGCACAGATATTAATGTTGATTGGGATTATTGTTGAATAATGAATGTAGTATCATGTTTGGATTTGTTGTTACTTGTCACAAAATAAATTCATTTTCTGCATGGGATAATTACTTTAAGAATCATGGATCTCAAAAAGACTAATGTGCTTAAGACCTTTAATAATTCAAGAGCATTGTTTAGGGAATTCATTTGAATAGTGCTACGGACTAGAATTATGGCCTAATTTATAGTTATTAACAACATAATTTTACAGGTATAAATCTTCAAGACGTCGACATAAAATCATGGGTACAAAATTAATTGCATGATAAATTTTATGTGTTTATTCTTAAATCCAAGATAACTTTTGTATCTTATATTATAAGATTTAATATAATTTAAGAAATTTAAAGTTACTTTTTGATCTAAAATGATGATTTAATCTTTTTCTTTTCCAAAAAATATGTGCAGAAACACAGAAGAATTTTGTTGATATGTGTTCAAACTAGGTAAATAAAAATTGATCGTTTCAAAATTTTTGTTTAATGTTGTTAGATGGTGGAATAAATTTCGATTTCGGAAATGAAAACAATTAAAATTTTAATTGTTTATTAATTGTTTAATTGTTAATTAAAACAGAAATCGCCAGAGCAGAAGGTTAGGATAAGAGGTTAGATTTTTTAATTTTGAAATATCAGCTATTGATTTATTGTTATAAGGAGCAATATGTTTTTCAATCAATGAAAAACAACTTGATTTTAGAATATTCTCAAGGAAATAAAATAATTCAAGTTTTGTAAAGTATAAAAAGTTACAAACAATGGTTTCATTATTTTGAAATTTTGAGAAACCGAACTCTAAACAAAATGATATGAATAAAGGGATCAAGTAATGATAATCTCTACTCTAAATATATTTGTAGATGATAATTATAAATTACTTAATTTATACTATTCATTATTATTCAGGTTGGTATATAGATGTGTCCTGCAACACCTATCTGTCAGAAGGGTTTAGTCAGATCTTAGCCCCTGGCCTTTTGGAAAAGTGCTTATGTTGCCAATATGATTCATATTTTAAATACATATTGGTAAATCTTTTCTGAAAAGTAAATCATATTTTAGTTTGCTAAAAAATTAATTTTAGTCTGAATGATAATTTGTTTCTAATATAGGTTAGGAAAATCATTAAAAGCAACCACAGAAATAATTAAGAAATACCCATAGTTTTAAGTTATAAATATTAATTAAAAATTGTAGCTATATATTGGAATCTAAGGAAAAAACAATTACTCTGGAGCACCATAAAATTGAAATTTTTATCGTAAGATTCTTTTTTTTTCTTTTTAAACCAAACTAAGATCATTTTAATAAAAATAAGATGGAAGTGTGTAACATATTTATTAATACTTATGCTTGTGTTTTAAAGGAATAAGAAACAAGTAATAGTTAAAAATAAAATAAAATGACAATTTATTACAGTAAGAAAAACAAGTTTCAAACAACTTATTTTGAACCTGGTAATTCAAACACAAAATATGCCACACTTGTTAATCCCAAAAGAAAGCTTCTTTCAGCTCTTCATACTACACAATGAATAAAGAAGGTTTCAAGTATAAGAAATATTTCTTCCTTAAGTAATGCAAAACTAAAAAAAGTTATATTTATTGGATCTGAAATAAGAAACTACACGGTGGTATGCATTTTCAAGAAAAAATAAATGAAAAGGAATTAGCAAGTTGGAAGTGTTTTGTAATTATAGTTGTGGGAGTTCTAGATGAAAATAAATTAAAAAAACTATATTTATTTTATTTATTTTATTTTATGCAATTTGCACCTGCGCAGCTGCGCATCTAGCAAATTTGTTGTATTTTTATTGCCTTGCTGTAATTGCTTGATTTTTTTTTTTTTTTTTTATTGATGTAGTAGGTCTCTTGGCCATTTTCTTCTTAATCTTCGTTGCTCAGGTAACAGGGAGCAGGAGATAGAAAGAACCAGAGGATTGGAGTGATTTTGGGTTGAAGACTATAAAAAACTATAAAATCTCATAAATGAAAGCTTACGAAAAAATAGTGTGTTGCAATCGCTTAAAGATACAATTTTTGCCCTGTCAAACTATTTGAATGAGTTTAAGATATTGATGACGTTGAAGACCATTCAATTGTACATCAATATAAAGAGTTTAATCAAATTCATATTAAAACATTTTTCGATCGATTTTAGCAAAAATGTTGTATTATGCTGGGTAGATACCTAACACTTGCGTAAGTTCAGTATCATACAAACGTTCATTTTTGAGCTAGGCTGTTTACAAACACACAGACCATTTTGATGTTAAAAACATATCTTTTTGGCGGATTAAGAGCTAAAGAAGGGATATAATACCCCAGATATTATATCCGCGATAAAGATAGAAAGGATAAAATGATTGGGTCACGTGCAAAGAGAGCAACATAGCAGGTTTCCTAAAAAGATGATGGAGGGACACCAGAGTGGAAGAAGAAAAAAAGAGGCCGGACTAAAAATCTTTGGCTGGAATTTGTCGAAAACGATCTAAAGAGGCTGGTGTAGTCGGATGGAGAGGGACGAGCCGAAGACGGATGGAGGAAGGTAGTAGAGGAGGGGTTCTGCCAGGGTTCTGCGAGGTGATGATATCTGTTGAAAACTTGAATTGAGAAATTTTCACTATCACAATAGTTACTTATATAGTATATAATATATTATGTATTCACTATATAGGTAAGTGGAAGTAAAAATATATTCCCTCCATAGCAACTCACTATTTTTTTTGGTTGTAATAGTAATTAATATTTAGTATTTTAAAGTTAGAACGTGGGCATTATTTGTTTCTAGGCAATATCCAATACCTATTTAGTATATGTTGTACATGTAATATACATTATATATATATATATATATATATATATATATATATATATATATATACAATGGGAGATAAAATAAATATAAACCATTAATAAAAACTGTATTATCTTATAGTTATTAAATTATAGATTTTAGTTATGTTTCAAAGTTAAACCTATCATTGATATTTTGTCTTCTATAACGGTGGGACAGTGCATAGTCTCACTAATTCACTATTACCTTTCCCTGGACAATAATACGTATATAGTAAAGTATTACTAATAATTTTAACAAAGATTAATAAACAAATTTATTTTATAACTAGTTCTTCTCTGAAACGAGACTCACATGAACCCACTGAGGAAGCGTGCCACCAACAGGAGGTAGAAGTTCTGCGAGAAGGATGATATGATGGTGAGGCAGGAGTCGATGGCCATCCCGTAGATCAGGACTGGTCGCCTTCCGATGCTGTCCGCCAGCACGCCCCACAGGAAGCTCGAGCTGAGGCCACCTACATATTATCCACATAATTATTACTTAATATAAATAAGTAACAAACTAATCAAGAGACAGAACATAAATGTTAGGTTATAATATGGAAAAATTTCAAACCACACAGCCTTATGTATCCAAAATGCAGGACAAAGAAAACAAACCTGTCTTTGTATGTCAACACCAATTATAACCTATAATTATCAGTATTACAATTGTTATGAAAGTTCATTATTATTTATGAAATAATAACTTAAGGGTTAGAGTAAATATACAATTCCTTATTAGCTGAAAGTATAGTTAAGTAGCTAAGATTCTCTCTCCTTGGGTCTCTTGTTAGATATGAAAATATTAAAAACAGTATTATATCCAATAATCGAAATATCGGTATTTCAGGCCTAAATGTTTTTATCGATATTTTCAAATAACTCGAAAAAATATATCAATATTTCATTAAGCAAGCCCTCGATGTTTCTAATCTTTAAAAAATATATAGATGTATTAACCGAATAATAATCTTCAAGTATAGAGTATCGATAGTTTTGAAGTAAATAGAAATAGAATTCGTATTGTATGTCATACAAGTTAATTGTTACAAAACTACCAATATTTCGCTTTTCGATGTTTTTAATATTTGAAAGAAGAGAGAGAGAAATATCATTGAATTGAAGTCTTGAAGAAGGCGGTTTTAGATATTTCAGAAACAATGAAAAACACAAATATTTAAATAGTTTTTCTCTGTGATAGTGTTTTTGTTTATGGTTTTTGACGTTTTCCATCTACTGTCTGTAATAAGAGAAATTAAAAAAAAAAAAGCTGGGCTTAGCGCTAATCTCGCAATTATGTAAGTTAGATAATCGAGTTTCTCATAGCTTGTGGAATGTCTAAATACACCTTTATATTTTTAATAGAAACATTTAAATACTTAAACGAAAAATCTAAATATTTAGAACTAAGAAAAATCAATTGAATTGCTTTAACTTACAATATTATACGAAGATAAATAATAAACAAAAATACTTAATGAATTACTACGAACTAAAAAATTGTGAATTAAATGGTTAAATATAAATATAGTTCCGGTTAGGATAAATAAAAATCCAATAAATTTATTACTGTTTTATTCCGGGCCCAATCTTTAAAAAGATTAAGCATGACGGCTAATCAAGCAGGCGTTATCCAGGTTTAGGATAAAGTAAATAAAGTAACATTTTTATTATTTTAAAAAAACTTGTTTTAGAGTTTACAGGACGTAAACCTCCAGGGCAGATACAAGAGAATGGAAAATTTGAAAATTATTTTCCTCGAAAAAAACATTTTAGCATGACACTATTAGATTAATCTTCTTGCTCTTTTTAGTGTAATGAGTGTTTTTTTTTTAAACTTATTTATTGAAAAATATTACAATCTGTCTCTAGGACATTTATAATAGAGTTCACATATCACATTCACACTCTATGTACAATAAATATAATAACTTATACAGAAAATAATATATATACAATAAACAAGAATAAAATTACCTAAAAATAAATAAATAAAAAGAACACATACACACTTATATACAATATCTACAATTTGGCGAGAGAACTCCAAACCAAACTTGTCCCTCCAACTGTGGAGGGAAAAGTATGACTCCAGGAGTTCCCTGCACTCCTATCTCAACCGCATCACTAGGGCTAAACCTAGTGGAGATTGAGCAAGAGTGCTTTAGCCAATGAGTGTTTTAAATCAAATATAAAAACAATTACAAAACACTTCAGCTCATCAGTCATGCCTTGGAATGAAGGGGAATGATGAACCTTCTCACCTCTAGTTTTAATTTATTCCGAAGTTGGCTCGCGCGGTGCATCAGCCTTTGCATCTTTTACCTTCAGGCGAGAAGACGTGCGAGGAACATCGAAACCACAGTCCCTGACCCGCGAAAGGCTGAATTATATCTTTGCATTTAGATAAAAAAGGTCCATAAAAAAATAAAATGAATTTTTTTCCAAACATTTTTATTATTATTTTCATAAACAATTCAACACATCAGTAATTTGTAAAAAAGCAAAACATTTTTTTTTAAATATCTTATTTTAAAATACTTAGAATTAATCTGGTGAGGATTTAAAAAAAAAAAAAATTATATCCGAAAAATATCTCTTTAGCGATAATTACGAATGTAGGATAATTAATATGATGTTTGACAATTACGTGCACTATATCTTTCCGGTAGGTCAAACTGAGAATAGATTTTAAAATTTTATACTTAGATTTCATAGAGCCATTTATTTCCCATAATGAATTTTCTTTATTTTTATTCAGTAATAAGTAGACATTATTAAACACAATGGTTAAAAATCCATTAGTTTCTCATCGCACTTTAATGCCTTCTTATACTTCATATGTTAGATATTTAATATTTACATTTATTTTTATTAACTTTCAAAGGTTATATTATATATCTATATTAATATTTTTATATTATCTGATTAAAGATAACCTGAGTATTTATTTACAAGAATTTAAGGAGATACAATCCAAAAGACCGTTCTGATTTACTATGTAGCGAAGGATTCAAGATTCTTCAAGACCTAACCTAGAAGATGTTACCCAGGAAGTCCGCCGAAGGATCGGAAATTAAACATCTTATCATAAAACCAGTCGTTGAAGAGCGGGGCTGATTGGAGTATAGCTGGAGATGGAGCCTCCAGATTACAGGGGTCCCTGGGTGGATGGCTGGAATCCCAGACTGGGTAACGGTCTCAAGCAGTCGTTTGCATAATCGCCACTCTCGGCCGCCGCTATTTTTGGCACTACTGCCGGCTCATCATCATTCAATATTCGTTACTCTTATCACCACTTAACAGTTTTATATCCATTCAGGCTTTTATTGGTGTGTATATGATACTTAGAATGAATCTAGGACATATATTGTAGATACACTTATTATATGTATTTCTGTTCTGTTGATACCTGAATTGGTGAAATCTTGACAGGTTAACTATAGAACACCTTTACATTAGAAACTCTAAGATTTATAGTTTGGAATTATCCATCTATATTCTAATTACTTTGTGTATCTTTTTGAGCTATTTGCTTTTTTATATCTGTGGAGTAGCAGTGTATTCACTGGCTCCAGTTGTTGGTGGATGTTGTATATAAATAGACTTAGACTTAATTATATTTTTTACAGTTTTTCGGTATTTATAATAAGATACAAGATACAGTTTTTGAGATATAGAACATACAGTTAGAACTAATGATGATTTTTTTCTACATATATACATATATTTCTCTCTCTCTCTCTCTCCCTCTCTATACATATACACACATATATATATATATATATATATATATATATATATATATATATATATATATATATATATATATATATATGTATATACGTTGAAGTCTTGAATGGGTGAAATATTTACATACAGATTAACTGCTGGACAATTGTACGTTAAAGACTCACTTATGCGTTTATCACAAATGAAATTATCATAGTATGGTACAACCCCCAGTGGGCGGGGTCGCCGAATGGGCTAACGCGTTGTGCACAGCACCACCGTTGCCCGGCAACCTGATATACGACAAATGTCTTATAAAAATAGTCACGAGTTCGCGTCCCGGTGCCAAGGCGTCTTTATAATCCCCGCCCACACTCCCTGTCCCGGGAAAACCTCGTATAGCCTTAACGGCGGGGAAGGGGAGAAACCAAAAAAAATCCAGAAGTATGGTACTACGTTAATTTGAGATTTTTCGGGTTTTGATTAAATGCCTATACAGGGTGTTTCAGGGTTAAGTGACCATATTGAAATAAGGACAAGAAAAAAAATTTCTTCTGAAGGTTTGTTTTCTATTTAATGTTACTTTTATTTCAGAAAATGGGAGAAGACCATATTTTAATCATTATCTTGGTGCAGAATAAACATACTGCCTCCTTCCGAAATTTTGGCGCATATCTCGGTAAAAATATGTTCCATTCTTTTTCCATCTAATTTGTGTGTTCTTTGGCAAAGTTAATTCGCCTTTACTTGTACAAAGATCGGAAAATTGGTTTTCCTTTAATGCCAAACGATAGAAGTTTCCTTCTGATCAAAGTGGACGAAACATAGGTCCTTGAAGTCGAAAACAAGAGAAAGACTTTTCCCCACCACTGTAAATAAAAGAATTGGTTTCCATTTAAACGTTTTTTTCTATTACAGAGAAAGACATTCCGAATCTTCCAGTTTAGATTTAAAACAATACATGAATTTCATAGAGTGATAAAATCATAGCTTGTTACATAGACTACTTCACTATCTTCAGATTGAATACTAGATAAGTCCCAGGGGTATTGTCCTTCGTGCACATCCACTCTTGATATGCAGGCTTGCAACGGGTGCGTGTCCGCAGTCCTCATTGTGTTAACTAAGGTATGAACATACCAAGCGTACCATTACGCATTTCAATTCGGACGTCTCATTTTGATTGTTTTCTTTAGAACATGATTACGACACTTTATATTTTTACTTTCACTTACCTATGTATGTAATATATAGGTACTATAGTAAGGGAAAGTATTGCGATTGTGAAAATTTTCGAATTTGAGTTTTCAACATAAATACATGTTTTGAGGTCTCTTGCATCGAAATAACCCCTTAAAATGGTGTACATGTGTGTGTGTGTGTGTGTGTGTGTGTGTGTGTGTGTGTGTGTGAACAGCCTAGCTCAAAAACGAAAAGTCGTACGAAACTGAAATTAGCCTATTAAGGTAATATGGCTCGGATGTGATAGCAACTTTTTCATTAAAGATACCACTTTATATCATCGATTTTACACATTTTTACAATTTTTTCGAAAACGGCTTTAACGATTCAACTCAGTGTATCAATAAGGTAATCTTTAATATGGTACCTTTAATTTGGTTTATTTTAAATAATTTACTATCTCTCATTGTTATGAGTTCTAAAAAAAAGATAATATAACTTTTTAAAGAATTTGATAACTGAATAGAGGAGAAAAAAGAAAAATAGTTATCCAGGTCGAAATAAATCTTTGGAAATAATAGTCAGAAGGTATACGTATAATTACTTATTTCTGCCATAAATACTGGTACAAACGTTGAACTTTGTTTACATCCTTGGGTATTATTTAGATAATCCATACCTCTATCAGGTTATTTTCTTTACATGTCAGGATAATAATCCCAATTAGTTTGTATTTTTCTTTCGCTCAGTTAACATGGAGCGGGGTGATAAAGAAAGGCAAATAGATGTGATCGCCTCACACAAAGTTGGAAAATGTATTTTAGAGATTTTTCAACACTTTGAAACCTTTGGGTATCAGCCGTATGTTTGTGTACCACAATATAAATAGATATAATAAGACCCTATCCGTATGTAACAGAACACGACCGGGCCTGTGAGAACGGTAAATGAAGTTAGAGCAGCGGCTGCTCGATTCAAAATAAATCCCATTCGAAAACAACAAATCATATCTCAGGAGATGGGATCAATGTCTGTCAGATCAATGTCTCACATAATAAAAAGTGACCTTAGGATGAGTACATTTCGAAGAATGATAGGGCAAAAGCCACTAGCGGATCCAGGATTTAATTTTGGGGGGGGGGTAGGCTTCAGCCCGAAACCTTTTTTTTTCATAAAAATAACGATAATTACTTTGGAAAAACAGAAAGAAACTAACCACCTATATGAAATGGTGTTTAAGTTATTCCTTAAGTACTTTTAAACGTAATTACACGAACAATAATACTTTAAGAGGTATTTTTTAATATTTTTTCCCATAAAACATGGTTATATTTTTCCATTTTGGGGGGGGCTTCAGCCCGAAAGCCTCCCCCCGTAGATCCGCCCGTGGCAAAAGCTAACAACTTCCCTAAAAAAAAATTAGAGTGTATAGATACAAACTGCTCTCTGTCTGTTACACCAATGTTCTTCATCGAAAGATTTTGTTTAGCGATGAGAAAAGTTTTACAATTGAAGAAACTATCAGGAAGATATTTTGGAACCTGTTATCATGCCTCCAAATGATACTCTGTTTGCTGGAAGGTGCATTGGGTTTTCCAGCCGGATTCCGCTACAGCTCACAAGTCCAGGTCAACTCAGCAGCGGCTCTAAAAGAACATTCCTGAGTTCATCTCTGCCTCGGATTGGCCCTCAGGAAGCCCTGATCTCAACCCACTAGATTGTTGGCTTTAGTCCGAACTGGAGAGCATGGTATGCCACCAAGCACACTTGGAAAGCCTCAAACAATCTCTGGTCCGAGCAGTTGAGCGCTTTCCTGAAAAAATTCTGCGTGCTATTGATGACTGGCCACTGAGATTAAATGCCTATGTCATGGCAAAAGGGGGACATTTTGAGCAACTAATTTTTTGTTTTACTCACTATAGATATATATTCTATTTTCTAATAAAGTTTTTGAAAAAAATAATTTTTTTGTTGAAAACTGTATATATTTCTTTGAAGCAATATTTATGAGAGGACTAGGTGTCGTTGGAAAGCGGATTATTTTATAAAAAATAATATCTAATAAATAAAGTTGTAGAAAGTAATAGAGTGACGAAAAAAATATAAAAAATAATTTCTGAAAACTAACATCATTTAACGTAAATCACATGTTTCCAAGGAAATTAAATGAAATTTTCTTACTAAATATACTAATATTAAAATATTTTTAAGTTTTAAAGTATTAAAAAGCCACCGCATCAAGACAATGACATTGTTTAAAGTACTATTTCATTGTACTTGTGTGAAAAAAGAAGTGAATTATACAAATATTTCATGGATATGTTTATAATCTTAAATACATTTACTATAGATTAATAACTCTATATCTAATATTATATTTAAATAATTAGGTATCTGTCGTCAGTTTATTCCTAAAAATCATCACGTAAACTTTTAGAAAATTAAATTAGTAAATAATTTGGTTAATTCGAAAGTTATGTGTTGCGTGCACCAGATTTTTATTATATATATATTATTTTTGGGCGATGTAAAATTTTGCTACCGATGTTGTAAGCAAGCATGCTAGCAAGGAGAAAAAATAAATAAATTCAATACGTCATGTCTTTTGGCCAGCACTCCTGCAGTCTTCCGGACTAATTGATCGTACAGGAGTATGGCAGCGGATTAGGATATACAGTAAATTTTTTACAAAAATTGTTGAAATGATCAATGAAAGTCGCGGTGACGAAATGTATGCAACGTCATTGTGACAGAAAATGGTAGAATTCAATTTTTATATTTTGATTCTTTATATCTTGATACTGATTTTATACATTGATTCTCTAGCACATAAAAAAAGAAATGTTATTTTCCTCTTTAAATTAATTAATGGAAATACCAATTCTTCCATCCTCCTTAGTAAAATTAATTTTCTAGATCCTGTCCATCTTCGTCATCCTCCGATTTTTCTTGGGATTGGTTCGAGCAGGTTCTAACTAACAAAGTTGGACCAATTGAGTTTACTGAATGAGAAGGATCTCACGCGCGCTATTCAACTCTACATAAGGATGATCATTAATAGTCGATATCATTGAAATATCAATATTTTTCTCTATTACGCACTACATACTATATGAAATTGGCAATATGAGTCTATTTTTTTTATAACTATCAGATTCATATATAATTCCCAGCGCTTTCCGAAAACGATAGTTTTAATTTTCTTTTTTAAATTAAAATATTAAAATTGCGATAATCGATAATATTGAAGTAGATACCATCGATAGTAAAATATCGAATACCAGAAGGAAAATATCGATATTTTGAAAATATGTACTATCTATGGTAAGACAGAGGGCTCTGCTCTGAGCCGCGGCTGTCCAATTTCTTTATTTTATTTTGCCAATTTCTTTGCGTCTTCTTCCAACATACTTCATTAGATGAAGTTTTTCAATCATTTTTAGTAACAATATAACATGATTACTAGTAAGAAATAGTTTCTGACGTAACTTAGCATGTTTGCTCAGATACGTAATAAGTTTCATAAAAGCTATGGATATGATATTATAATATGTACGATACATTTTTATAGAATAATATAGTATATTCCTTAGAGATCAGAGTATTTTAATAGCTATATTATTATTTTATCCCTGTTATAAATTCTAAATCAATATTAGACATAATTATAAAAATAAACCATCAATTAAAGAGTTCGTTGACACATCGCCGATGGGAACCTTTACTTAGATAACAACCTGACTCAACAGATCGAATTGGCCAGTTCTATTTATAGCCTAGCCGTTTTATTATTATTTAACGACTTAAAGACATATATAGTCTGCTTATTTTATTGGAGCTGGAAATTAAGTATTATATTCATAAATGGATATAAAATGCCATATGCCGCTTATAGAAGCTAATAACTGGCAGGACCTTTATATATTACTTATATAATTAGAGGAAATACACGTATCATGTTGTGTTGTTTTATTTTTATTCTTTCACTTTTTATATTGATTTGTACACTTTTATTGCGTTTGAGATATTTTAAAAACCAACATTGGTGGTATATTTAATTTTCAAAATACAAAATCGTTTACTCATTGCAGTCGAGGTCCTAATTTTTTGTTTACCGAATATCATTTGCTATTATTTCCCAGTTTTAACTTCTTTCAGCCAAAAAAAAAGTGATAATTAGCAATAAAAACATTACTATTTAGTTATATGATACTTACAAGTACAAAAGTTGTATAAAAAGATTTTATTCTATTTCTAGGTTTTATTATTCTGAGTATAAATTCAGTAAGTAATAATGACATTTTTTTTTTTTTTATTATTTTACTGTATTGTTTTCATACCCTCGAATCCATTAATTTTACCTAATTGGCGATAAGGCACAAGATCGGGAAGTAACTAGCGAAATCAGTGTATTTTTTAAGGTATCTCTAAACACAGGTCCCTCGTCTTTCCCTTTTCAATGTTATTAAAAAATTGACCACGTTGTTATCCATGGAATCATCATCATACAACTCCAGTTTATTAATACACTTAGCTGCTTTGACTAAATTCTGTGAGCTTATCTAGGTTTTAAAAGGTAAGTGTAGCTAATGTATTTCAGTCAAAGTTAAAGTTTATTTTTATTATGTTTTTGCTCTTCCCTTGCCTCTCGGCAATGCAGATTTTTGACAGAAGTAGCGTGAAACTTCTACCATTAATCCTCTGAGTTCCGATCTTCTTCATCAATCGAGATCAAACCCACTAATTGCTTCCATCTTTAGTAGTTATCCTTATTTACGAGCTGAGAGGAATCGTACTCCGTGATGATGTGGAGTCCGGTTTCTCTCAGTAGTTTGGCCCTTATTGTCACAAAGTATAGATAACTTTTATATTTTTTAGCGAAAAGAAAGTAAAGTATTCTCAGACACAGATTAAGTTGCACTGATAAGTAATCCCGACTGTCATCCCTATGTCCAAGAGGATTTCGTGTTTGTCTACGTATTGTTAGTTTTTCCCTCATGATAATAAAAGAAAACACCTAATTAATATAAATAATTCTTAATTGTGGGTTGATGGTTGACTGCAGTGAATAATGAAGAGAAGGGTGGTTGGGGTGAACACTCAAAAGAAAAATGGCAAAAATAAATAATAATATTTATTTTAACATTTGCCAACCTTTCGACCCGAAGTCCAGGCCTTCATCCAGGGCTAAGAAAAGAACCAGATAACAATAGGTATGAGAAACATAAACAATGTGAGTAAAAAAACTTAAAGTAAGGTTAAGTAGATAAGTGAACATTTAAGTAAAATAAAGTAGGTGGAATAATGACAATAACAAGAACTAAGGAATAAATAATAATAACGGTTAAAAAGTGTAGACTAATGAAGAAAACTTAATCAAAATAAGTTACTATTTAAAAACATTACCTTATCTTGGGTATAGGGCTGACATACTTATCAGTGCAAATTAATCTGAAAATACTTAACTTTCTTTTCGCAAAAATTATAAACTTTATCTATTTTTTGTGATAATAAGGGCCAAACTACTGAGGAAAACCGGACTCTATAACATCACGGAATACAGTTTTCCTCAGCTAGTAAATAAGGATAACTACTAAAGATGGAAGCAGGTAGTGGGGTTGATCTTTATTAATGAAGAAGATCGAAGCTCAGAGGAATAATGGTAGAAGTACCATCCTACTTCTGTCAAACATCTGAATTGCCGAGAGGCAAGGGAAGAGGAAACAAATCATAAAAATAAACTTATCTTGGACTGAAATACATTAACTACACTTACATGTTAAAATAAATATTATTATTTATTTTTGCCATTTCTATTTTCACTGATCACCCCAACCATTCTTTCTTCATAAATAATTCCTGATCGATATTGCAGATCTGTAATGTAAAAAGACATATATAAGTTGCTTACCTGCGAGAAACACAGCGTTGAAAAGACCAAGCATGGAGCTGGATACGTGCATCTCACACTTGATTGATGGTAGGATGTAGGCGCTTAAGGAGTTCTGGAGGGCACATGACAGCCAGCAGAGGCCGCCGACTAAAGCGATGAATCGCTGGTACCTTCCGAACCCTGCAAGCAGATCGATATCAGTTCGTACGTATGATAAAGTCGTTTCCTGATTAATCAGATCATGGATGATATAGTCATAGCTACTTCTATAAAAATATCAAACGTGCTTTTTTTATCAATAATAGATGTTTAACCTTTCGACGAGGATGTACTGCTGGAGGAGTATGCACGGAGTTGAACTCTACGGACGGTATAGTATAGTAGCAGTGGATCTCTCTTCCCTCGTTTAAAGGCTCATCCACACAGAACGCGAAATGTCATGGCGTTCAGCGATTTCTTTGTCTAAATCACTACGGAAGATCGTACTCTATGTGATTGTGATAGTATGCAATTCAACTATATCTCCGTGAACCACTAACGGATCCGGGACTTAATTTTGAGAGGGTTTCAACCCGAAAGCTTTATATATAAATATATATTAGCCTTACGGGCTAAGGCGCTTGCAATAGGTATTCAAAGTTAAGCAACGCCGAGCGTGGCTAGCACTTGGATGGATGACCGTTCACCAAGGAAAGCCACGCTGCCCGAGATTCCTCTCCCCTCCCTCGGGTATGTGAGTCCCGTCAGCCTACTGGATGAAATTCACACCGACCGGGCGTAGGAATGCTGACGCTACCTCGTACTTTAAATCGGGAATCGGGATACGGTCTTGGAGACCACATTCGCGGTCAAAGGTCTTCATGGTCTGTAGCACCAACCGAAAATATATATATATATATATAAAATGATAAATACTTTTAAAGAAAAAACAAGAAACTAACTACCTATATGAAATGGCGTTTAATTGATTCTTAAGGTCCAATCAAATGTAATCAGACGAACAATAATACTTTTTAAAATATTTTTTTCATATATCATTATTATATTTCATCATTTTGGGGGGAGGTTCAGTAAAAAATCCTACCCCCACCTGTGCCATGATCAGCAATATCGTATCACCGGAACATATCGCGTTCTGTGTTTGGTGAGCCCCTTGATGGTTGACGGTCATAAACTAGTGAAGAAGTTCGACTATAAAACGGTGTTTTAATAATAACAATATATTTCGAGTTTTAAGAAAGAACTTTCAAACCTAAGACCAATTGAAAAGATTAAACTGCAATTTTTATAAACATACTTTCATTTTTATCGTTTAAGAAGAGAAGAGGAGAGCAATATATTTTCTTTGGAGAGGGCATTTCCTATCATCCTGGGAGGGGAGGGCGGAGAAGATGGATACCCCTGAAGTTAAATTATCCCTGTAATCAGATGGTTAGAGATAATTAGGATTAAAATATTAAACTATATACACATTTTTCTATAACAGTTTACTTCCAGGAGACAGAGGGAAGTAAATAAAAGAACATTCTCAAGGTCTACCCATAATCGAAAACTAAAATAGAAAAGAAAAACATATGATGAGCAGGTCATAGAGATAGAAATAACAAAACCAGTGGTTTCTTAGCTCTCATAATAATCCATGAACGCTTTAAGGCGAATATAGTCTTGTTCGATTCCTACCTAGATTGTATAATATTTATTTATATATATAATATAACACATTCTGGTTTTGACTGAACGAATATCTCAAGGAAGCTGTCAGAGTTTGGCTAAAATCCTTGTAGTTGTCTCAGATGATTAAAAATATCCAAATTCATCTACATATTGAGGTGTAATACATTAATTGGTTATCACAATAAATGTGTTCTTAAAGTAACGTACTATCTTATTAGACAGTAAAAATATCTCTGTCCAACCAAAATAAATCTCGAAATCTGCGCAAATTAATATCAATGTAGAGAATCCTTAAAATCTTGGTAAAAAAATGTTGCAAAACTGAGGTTACTGTTGAACTGATATCCTATTTAACTGAAGCAGTGATATGAAGGTATTCAATATATTTAGGTTACAAATTATTTTAGTTGACAATAACGTGACAAAAATGTAATCACACGAATAATACAAAGGATTAATCAATAAAATTGTGCTTTAAACCAAATAAATCTAATAAAAAATCATTATTTACAGCCAAAAAAGATAAAAATATATTTATTAACATCGAAGGATGGCGTAGAGATTAAGATTACGATAAAAATTGATAAAGTTTTGTGACATTTGGTGACAATAATTCCTACGAAGGTATAGACACGCTAGTACAATAATATATTTCTTTATTTTACATAATATTTCTTATTTTTTATTCATTAAAAAAAATCTGAAGGTAATCTTGGGAACTCTTAAAATAATTACAAGTCAGTCCTCCGGTGAATAAAGAATGGTCTGGTAATGTGAGGTGAATACTTTTTATTTTAACTTCTGCTTCCTCAACTGTGTACTGGTATTAGGTCTTTTTTAGCTAATGCGCATACTCTAATCATGTATAAATAGCTCTCATTTCATAAATGTTACATATGGTTCGATGGTTTCATATAGGCTTTTCAACTAATGATGATTTGCTTCGCAGAAATATCAGCCGTGCTCGTAATAGAGTCTTCGACCCGGGAATAAAATTAGCTCCCATTCCAGAAAGATTAGGAGGAAGAGAAGAGAATTGCTGGATATTAGAACAAAAATTCACCTCTAAGATTAATTAATCTGTGAAGAAATTGCCGGTGGATCCTGGGGAAAGCAAGTGAGTGTGCTGAAATTGGCCGAAACTATAAGGTCTATAATGCGCGGAAGGAGTGGAAAACCGGTCCGATAATTAGAACGTCTTGTAGGAATTATCGGACCTTGGTCTTTCCGATCGTATTCCTATAGTCATAGGTTTGTTATAGTTGAGATCGATCCGTGAGTACTCATCTTTTAAATAGATAAGGCTTGCACAAGAATATGGTGTGTTACAAAAGCTTTTTTTTTTAATTATTATTATTTTTTTTTAAATTTGTGATGGATAAATATAAAGTAATACAAAAACAGATAAACCAAAGGACATTCGACTGCCTGTGGAACAAGAAGATAACGACGGGATGGAATAAGGAAGTTCGTTAGGATCTTGAAAGATCCACCAATATCAAGGGAAAACTTTCGGGCTGAAAATCCCTCAAAATGCAGTATTATCATTCGATAAATTAACAAATTGTTTATTCGACCATAATAATTCATAAATTTTAATAAGCGATTAGCAAATACAAGTAAGACTGAGACTAATTGTGTTATTATTTAATATTTGCGAGGTATTGGGAGTGTGGTAGGTCGGGGGTAAGACTCTGACTACCTAAGCTCAAGATCCAGGGTTCCGGCTAATAGTGGGAAATAACTTTTTGGTTATAACAGCCATTAATCGACTATGGGCTCTGGGGTACACTCAGTTTCCTTAAAGGTACTTTTAATTAAATAACTGATTCAGGATGAATAATATATAAGATATAGGTATTTTCAAATTTTGTGGGAATTAACTAAAATAAAAAATACAATCGCTAGACTTTGTCCATTTATTACTTTAGTAGGTGATATTAAGTGTAATTTATTTATTTTAATAACGATGATTCATCTATGAGTTAATGGCACCAAGATAATTAAAATAATTTTTACCAAAGCATCAACAAGGTAACGAATTTTATTTGTAAAAAAAAATATTTAAAAAAACAAGTAGATGTAATTGCAATAAATTTTAGTATAATGCAGTTCTAAATAGGGGGTTTGTTAACCAGAAACGAAAACTATTACCGGTTGTGTTAAAAGTAAAATATGAAAATACGAAAGTTTTAAATTTTTGTTTTCTTAGGATAAAAGTATGTCTTTTATAAGGATTTTGTGAACTCCAGTGAACAAAAATAAATGACCAATAGACTTTGATGGCCCTGGGGTTTTACGCCTTAAAGACCAAATAAACAAACAATATTATGATTTAACATTTTTTTAATGCTTTTGCCTGTAATTATCATTATTATAGTATTTACTTATTTATGACTATTTATGTAGTGGCTCATTCTGGCGCCAGAAACGAATTCCAACATTTCCACACCGTACTCCTAGGAATTACCCAACTTTCCAATTGGAAATAAATTGACAAGTAGGAGTAATGACAAGGGAGCAGTTGATGGAATTGCTAAATTGCTAGGATGGCTCTCGCTGTGGCCCAATTTGATATCTTTTATTGGAACTTGAGAGGCCCGGTATTAGTTTCTCTCATTCCGGGGTTGGGTAATAAACTCCTGTATCCGTTATAAAAAAAAAAAAAAATTGCTCCTTGGAATTAAGGGTGAAAGTTTTGAAGAGTTTAGCTCTCCTAGTAAAAATAGCTAATTAGAAATCAGAAGGTAGCGTTTTAAATTATTCATCCAGTACGTGTGTGGTAAACTGCCAAGTGGCGCGACCTATTACACTGGTGAAATGGCCTTCGCCCATTGTTTCCGCAAGTAGGGGCTGAAAAGGACATGGATGAGGGATCTTTTCTTAGCCATGGAACTGCTTCAAGACTGGTATTGTTTACAGGGAACAGGCTACTGAAATAGGTTACTACATTATCTGTACGATGATAGCCGAAATGAAATGAGTCGCTTATTTCCAAAGTGAGTCCTAATCGATTTTTTTTTAATTGAGATAAGTATCGATTTCTATGTTAAAACACCCAATGAATCTGAAAATGCAAATATTAAAAAAAATACTAAATATTAAAAAATGTGGAAATCAGTTGATTTCCGAAATCGGCCTTTTATTTTTTTTATTTTAAATAAATGTAATGATACAAACATACCTTACATATTTGTAAAAACACCAATACATTCGCAAATTGTTCAAAGTTTTTATTTATTAGAATGAAAACAAAAAATAAATTTATTCTATAGTACCATTATTGTATGCAAATACATATATTTTTATAGTATAATTTTAATTTTTTTCCTCACCGAATCACTGAAGATTTTTTTTCTTAAAATTTAACCCCAATACAATTTTTTTTTCAAAAGCCGTCCTTAAAGTTTTTTTTTTTCGTAAGCGTCATTATTTGAGTTTCGGTGTTTCTTAATTACTATTGAAATAATCAATGATTTTCGGAATTAAACGCTACTAATAAATAGCTATTTTAATTTATATTTGTTTTGTATATTACAATTGGAATAGAAAATATAGTTTTAGTGTTTTATGAAAAGCTAGCAATGATGAATAGGATTTACTTTGGAAATAAACAACTCAAATTGAGGGTTATCAGGGTTCGAAGAGGAAGCAAGTTTAAAAAAGATAGGATTAGGGTGGTTCTGAAGTTTACTATAGAAGGATAGGTGTCTGAATTGGGAAAAATTAATACGCATAATTTAATATTATATAACTGTTAAAGTTATTCAAGTATGTGAACAATTTTGTCTAAGGACATATATATTGTTTTACAAGCTAGGTCTTTTTTTTATGGTTTAATTATTAACACGTAAAATTTAAGAGCTATATTTATCTAATAAAACTGAATTGAAATAAAACATTTAAATAACTGATCCAGGATGAATGAAATATAATACACGTATTTTCAAATTTTGTAGAAATTAACTAAAATATATACAGGCAGCAGTATTTATTACATTAGTAGGTGATTTTAATTTTTTTTTTCGATCCCCCAAAATATTTATTTGAACTAATTACAATATACAATGAAACTAACGAATAAATGTATATACAATGTTAGAAAGGCGATATTAAATTAAACTATTTATTTTAATAACAATGATTCCTCTCTGAGTTAATGGCTACAAGATAATTAAAATAATTTTAAACCAATGCACCAACAAGGTAAACGAATTTTATTTGTAAAAAAAATATTTAAAAAAAAAACAAGTAGATGTAATTGCAATAAATTTCAGTATAATAAGGTTCTGAATAGGGAGTTGTTTAACCTGGAACGAAAACCATTACCGGATGTTTTAAAAGTAAAATATGAAAATACCAAAGTTTTAAATTTTTTTTATCTTAGGATAAAAGTATGTAGGAATATGAATATATCTTTAGTTGGGTGCAGGAACCTCCCCGCCCATCACAATTATTTTTCTGGATACACCGATTTATTTAAAAAATGCACTTCACGAAGACACTATTCTCTTTCTCCGGACCACATTCAGGAAAGAGAGCGCCACGTATCTGTTTATGCGCGAATCATCCATTACCTCACCATTCGCAAGTCAGACAGAACAGTTTCGATCCGGCCTTAGATTTCTTAGTCTTATTTTCTGGCAAACTTACCAATGAACCTCTGTATTGTTACTCTTTTTATTAACTTGGTACAGAAGGATTTTAACCTATAGGGAAACCCGATATCTTGCTCCTTCAGTATTTAAGGGCGTTAAATATTACGATTTAGTTTTCTTCTCAAAAAGGAAATATCGGTTAGCTGGTAGTACATGTGTAACGAGAGCCCATCAAGTTAGCTATTATTTCGTTTAACAATTTAGAACTTTTTTTATGGTTTAATTATTTACATGTAAAATTTAACACTATATTTATCTAATAAAATTGAATTTAAATAAAACACTATCCAAATTTAAATTTTCTTGTTCTCTTAATTTATTTGAGAGGTTTTTATTGCATATAATTCGTCATTTGATTCCAACACTTTCGTACTCCATTTTTGATTAAAATAAGTTAGTTAGCTAATCTGTATAACTTAATCTTTTATACTGTTGTGTTGAGGCTCAATCTACTGACAACTATAAATATGTAATATTTATGTTTTCGAAAATTTGGGTTTCAAGTTTTTTTTAGCCTCTTGTAAGATTGAGAGGATTGATTTAGGCGGTGTTAGAATTTATTTGGCGAAATAATAAACCGAATAGTGTGACAGTCATAGTTGTGGCTTACTTAAATTTTTAGGCAGATGGGGGAGGGGAGGGGATGGAGAATGGCCACACCTCACAGATTGCTAGTGAAAATAAATGGTGTTGATAAGGTGCAAAGTCAGAAAGTGTAATATCCCTCCAAATTATTGAGGATTTAGAGATAATTCACTTATAAAAATCATAAGAGAAAATTCTTCAAAACTATTACGTCATAATGACTTATTATTATTTTTGTCTAATATTCTTCTAGACCTAATTATAAGTATTATTTATTGTAATTTTTGTCTCTGACCTTTGAGGTCGTTATTTTTTTTATATTAATTCAATAGGTGTATCAGAAAAATATCTCCCAAATTAGGTACAATTTTTGAGTAGCTAACTTACCACATATCGAAAGGGCATCTTCTAAGGACACACCATGTAAGGCATCTTTGGTTACTGAAAAAAAATAAATCAAGAGTTATAAAAAGTATAATTATTAATTTCTATACTAGTTAAAAATGTTTATCACTGTAGGAACTATTATAATTTGTTAATAAAACTTAATAACATTGACAATCCTCAAATAATTGGGAGAAATGTATATTTTTTTAAAAATATTATTTATCCAATTTTATTTATGTGCAAAAATAAATCATACAGAATTTGGTATTTTTTCTAATCCGATTAAACAATGTTGGAATATACTTGACACTAGTTGCGACACAATAAGCCAGACACTCCGACCTTCTGGTATTGACTAAAGAGCATAAGCTATGTCCCTTATGCAAACACAGGTTGAAGTATCGGTTGCTGAGCAAACTGGTACAAGCCTTCCGATCTAAAGCGTGGTACTTCATCAGAAATATTTGTCGGGTCTAGACCCAACGTAATCAATACGCGAAATAACGTGAAAGAAATTTAAAAAATAATTTGCTTATTGTAATTTTATCTTATCGCCGCAAACCGGTGTCGATGCTCAATTATAGGTGAATTCACTAATTATCTGAGTATAGGTATGCATGTGTTTTTTTTTTGCTTAGTTTTAATTTTCTTATTTTTTAGGTTATTTTATTTTATTATCTATTGCATATACTTTTGATTATTATTTTGTTTCTATTTATTTATTTATTTTATTGTACATATAGTGTGAATGTCATCCTACCTCACTATAACCAATGTCCAAGAGACAGATTGTTGTAATACTCAATAAAGAAATAAAAAAATATCTGAGTATACCACCAATAATCATTGCCTTCTTTCATAAGAATTCAGTCAACTTCTTGGAACATGAAATTACAAATTTCAGATAGATAGGAAATAAACTTTATTCTGAGACTAGGTCCCTTAAGAATAACAGTTATGAAAAAAAAACATATCTAGCCAAAAACTACATTAATAAAAATTAAATAATATCAATTTTATGTAAGTATTTTTGTATTTAATACAAGTTCTTAATCATATTCTAACTAATCTGTAATACAAGAAATTGTTAGTAAAATTAAGTCTGAAATTATAAAACATTTGAAATAAGTTGAACTGAATTTTGGTCTTCATCTTTTTCTATCTAAAGATTCTTTATATCATTATCTTACTTAATATATTTGCGGAAGAAAGATATATTATTTTAGATAATGAAGTATAATTCAATCTTTCGAAATTTAAATACTAAGAATTTAGATATAAACGAACGAGAGCTTAGGTATTTTTAAGTTTAGGTTTAAATATTTACAACTAAATATTTATAATTTCTCCTCCTCAAATATGGGCTCAGATTGATTTTTAAAAAAGGTTACAAACAAACTAGTGTATAGCAAAAGTGGTAAACATGAAGCCCCCGTGTGTCTTACATTGGTGTGATTTTCAACCTCTTTATAATTAGAATCATATATAGTCCGTGGTACGAACCCCTTTTTATCGGATTATTAAAATTCTCCTGAAACTTCATGAATAGCTTTATTTCATCGTGACCTACAAATATTTTATTTACTAAAAGTTTAAGAATTGTGGCGTTTTCGATCTGGAGATCGGCAAACATTGTCTATTTAATTGAGTACTAAAAACTCGCAATTACCCATTTGCCCATTTCCACTTGGACCTAAAGATAGTTTGCTCGCACAATCGAGTAAAAAGGTGGCCTACAAATATATTATATAATTATTAGACAAAGTTTGTCTATCTCCAGATTGAAAACGGCCCAATTACAAGAGTTTTCATAAATAAAATATTTGAAGTTCACGATGAGTTGAAGAAATTTATCAAGTTTCTGGCGGATATTAATAATTCGATAAAAACAGGTCTGCACCACGGACTAGTACTCCACCTATGGGTTATTGTATTTTTATTACTATTTGAACATTATTTTATTATTTTTATTGATTTCCAGATGGTAAAAAGGGAGACAGAGCATCTCCGAAACTTTCAACTAGTAATTTTGTCCTTTGCTCATAATTGTAAATAAAAAATAAAATATGAAGAAGAAAAATCAAGAATGTAAATTGATTATATATATTAATGTAAAATATATATTTAAAAGACGAATGTTTATTATTAGACACCGGAAAGAGGACCGCATAGTCCATTGACCCAAAAACAAAATTGAAATATACCTACTAAAACAGCTGTACTATAAATCTTTATTAAACCTCCACACTCGTTTTATTAGTACATATTAACTGAAAAACCTGAGCTCAAACTTTCCTATTTTATTAGTAGTTGCTCCTAGATTTCACCGAGTGAATGGCACTTTTTACTAATCATTTGTGTAGTATTATGTCTACAGTTGTAATTCTTTTTAGTTTTATTTATTTTTATTTTTTTGGGTCAATCTATTAGAAATAATTCAGTGAAATTAAGAATAAATTTTATTCCTCAACGTTTTAATTTTTATCTTTTTTTTTTTTTACCAGTTACCTGTTTGACGTAGAGTTAAAATCTATAATTGAAAAAAAAAATAAGCCTCTTACTTTTTTCTTGGTAGTTATTTTGAGTTTGCTCTTCGAATGAAAACATGATTTGATAATATGTCACTAACTAAAATAGTTTTATTGATATCAAACAAAAATGAAAACTACAATGATGATGCTGATTTTTCTACAACTTTTTTCTTTCAATACTTCACAGAAGGTAAAGTTGTTTAACAGGTTTCTAAAAGTGAAATAATGAAAAGAGACTGACCATTGATTTTTTATTTCCTCTGTAGCTTATCAATGCCCAGAATATGTAGAAAAAAATCCTCATTATTATTTTCGTATGACATCAATCAAATTAGCCAGAGGAGGAGACATTTTCTCGAATATATTTTCAGTCGAAACGCAAATTAAAATGGCCGTGAAGAAAAAAGTGTGTCTTAAAAAGAAATGTATCTATGTATATGTATCTATAATTTTCAACACCTCATTAAGTAAGAAATGACTGATAAAAAAAAGTTAAAATTAAAAATGTCAAGTGACATGGCCTGGTTGATTTCAAATGCATTACCAGAATAGTCATATTGGATTTTTTATTTAAAAAATAAAGAAAATTAGATAAATTAGGAGACTTAAGAAAAGATTCACGAAAATCTCAGCAATATAGTACGAACAGCTAACATTTTTTTGTAATGGTTTGATCTTTTTGTTTTCTTTCTTTCTCGCCTCTACCCTAAAGATTCATCAACATTTTACTACAATTTATTCTGTTTTAGTACTTAATATACTTTTAAAATTCAAACACATTAGAGATTCACTCTTAGCTACCCTGCAGAACTTCTCTTAATATTTTTTCTAATCCTATTTTTTTGTTCGGTATTTTTCTATTATACTTCCCGTAAGTATTTCACTGTTTGCGATATATTTTTGCATTTTTAGCACTTGGTTATTATTTCGATACCTCTTAGAAGGTGACTGACCATGTGTAAACTGGTAGCATCCAATCCTAAGACGGCTCCCCTAATTTCTCCTCAAACTTTATTTGATCTAACCTTGAAGTTTTAATGAATCAATAGAAAGAATATGAAATTTTCAAAATAAACACGTAATGGTAGCTTAAACAACAACCAGCCCTAATCATAAGGCTTTCAGGCTGCAGCCCACAAATATATATTTTTTTTCGTTGATTCGTATATGCTTCTTTAAGTGATTTGAACTAATTACTTAAACAATATGAATATATATATTTTTTTATTATAACGTATATATTGCTGCTGAATAATATATATATATATTTTTTTTTTTTTTTTTTTCTAACGCCTCTTGACTTATTTGTCTTCCGTCATTAGTCCACTAGCAGTTACGGAACTGTCCCAGGGGATAGCTAAGATCATTTGGTTCTCTTATACTCGTGTAAATATCCAGGAAGCACGTGGTTTATAATAACCTGACCCTATCGCTAATCACTCCCCCTTCATCAGAATGGTTAGCAACTATTTTCAAACTTCTCCAACCTGTAGTTATTTTTGTATTTTTACGGGATAAGGCTAAGAGCCATGTGCCCAACCCCCGAACTGGAAGTTCAGCTATGTTGTTGGAAGGCACAGGAGTCCTGTGAATCTGAGGGTGACGTTACAGTCACCATGCAGGAATTGAACCCACGCCGTAGTGGTCTATGCAATCGAGTTAGGACTGCACTTATTTATTTTTATTATTATTTATTTTTTATTTTTTTGGTTTAATTCCCGCTAATGGAATTTAAACTCGTAGCTTAAAATTGTTGCAGGCGCATTCACTCGCTCGACCCCAGAATAATATAAAACAATAATTTCTAAAAGTACTATTGTTACTGCAATTATTGTTTCTTCCTTTTTCGTCCTCAGTATTTACCGTTATATAATAAAAAATTAAATCCTGGATACCCAACTGCTATTGAATTACTTTCACGTACCGTCTGGATATTACTTCTTCGACGGCGCTACAACCCATGCAAAGTCAAGGCCACTCGTAGTGGAGGCCAATCTTCCATCTATTGTGCAGCAGCTCTCCGATTTCTAACATCCAACACTTTCTCTGGCCATCTACCGCCAAACTATCCAACTATCCAACTGCGCCAAAACGTTTTATTGCCCTAGCAGCATTTCGGGGACTTCAACGTGATAGAGTCGTACAAGATGCCACATTGCAGTATATTAAGGGATTCCATATCACTCGTAGGGATTCCATATTACCACTAGACCTATTTTACGATATTACATTATTATTACTATTACTTTATCGGAAACCGGACACTTTTATTGTCAATGGATCATACAGGTAAATTGGAAAAGTGTTCCGATATATCGCAAGGAGTGATGAGAAAGAATTGAGGTTTCCAGGTCAATTGGATTAGACTGATGGACTAGCTTTCCGTTTACTTAACCTCGTCAGAGATCCTGTCACTATCGTTTTGCGTGGATGGGCTCTATCATTCCATGCCGATAATTACTGGGTACAATCTTCCGGGTGTCGGTAGTTTGTTTATAGCTTCTTCCACTTGTAACCTTGTAC